GTACTAAGAATATGAGTAGATAACATTGAGAGCCTTCCATGTGCCAGAAACTGCGAGTGGGGTCTTTCATTGACTGAATCATCAAGCAGTACAGGATAGGTAGTGTTATCTGCATATTACAGAAGCCAGTGTAACTCAGCAAGCGATGGCATACCTGGTTCTAGGAAAAGGAGGAGCCAGGATGCAGGTCCAGGTCTGATTCTCAACCTGCTCACAAGATAGCTGTACTTCCCCAGGTCTCTCCTTCCAAGTTAGACTGCAGAGAGGGTGCCCAGCGAGCCAGGGAGTTCCAGCTTTCTTGATGTTTGTCCTGTTAATTACTTTGTGTGATTATAAATTGTCCTCTCTGATCCTCTCAGGATTCATTCTAAGCTCTCAGTTATTGGAAGGCTGGATGTTAGACTTGTCTGGAATAATATTTAGTCCTGCACTTTTCTAGGTGACTCTGGAGTCCCACAGACATTTCCAGTTCTTGTACTTGTTTACATGTGTCACGTCACTTTGAACATGTTTCCTAGCTTTGCCAAGCTTTCGTTTTCTCACCTATTACCTGGAGGTTGATGGGAATTTGAAATTTCTAGATCTCCCTTTTGAGTCTTTGTGCAAGAAGACAAGTAGCAAAGACTCCAGTTCGTGATGCATATGTAAGTGAGCTCTGTGCTTCCTGAAGATGGAGCATACCAGTGACCTCTGCTCTTCAACACACGAACCTTGGTACAAGTCAGCAGGGGATTGCTAGAGGGACTGAGTGCTGGACTTAAGGTTTGTCACAAGGATGAAGATGTGGGACTTGACACAGGTATGGCCACTGCAGATGTGGCTGGAGAAAACACAGGGACAGTGCAGAGTCCATGCAGCAGGCCAGCCACCCCAGCTTCTGACCAGCTGGATGTTTCCTCCATAGGTATCATGTTGGGACTGATTTGCAGATGGGTGTGACCCTGGAATAGATGCTCAGAAGTCTCTACATGCACAGCTTTGTAGCCCTGGGAGAGTCTCTATGCAGCATAGGCTGAGAGAGGGTAGTTCTCTGCGTGGCTGTGGGCACCTGCTAGGTGTGGGCCGGCAGCCCCCTCAAGGTGCAGGTACAATGGCTAGTGTCTGTGCCACCTTTCTAATCCAGGTGTGCTGCCAAGGCTCAACAGTCTGCAGCACAAACAGCTGTACCTAGTGGATGTGGTCCCACTAGGAAAGCAGGACTTGGCTGGTGAGATGGAGGTCATGCCATTGCCCAGCTCCATAAAGAGACTGTCCCTTCAGAGAGGTGCAAAGCTGCAGGGCCTGTTCAGCTGTGCATGAAAACCAGAGGGGTGACATAGGAGCATGGGGAGGGGAGCTTCCTGCTGAATGCCACCACAAGGAGGACCCAGCCTCCTGCCAGGTCTTCTAAGAGTCCTGCTTTAGTAGGAAAGGAGGGTATGTTGGGTACCAGGGACTGGGGGAAGGAAAACCTCTGGCATCCTGAGGGGGTTAGGGACCAGCCTTCAAACCCAGCCTGTGGGAAAGGTTGGGGCTTTCAAACTAAACAATGAACCAAAGAGCAAAATTAGGTACTCACCAAATAACAAAGGTGTTGACTGTACAACTGTTAATTGGCGAATTAAAATTCAGTTTGGCAGACACCTTGCACTCTGGGCCCTGCTCCCAGTCCGCCTCCAGCAACCCTGTCCTACTCTGCCAGCTGGACTGGGCTCCTCTGATCCCTGTTCTGTAGCCCCCAGGGTGTGTCACCCCTAGCTTTTCTGTCTCATTAGACTGGGTTCTCACAATGGGATTGATGCACATCCCCAGTGACCGAAGCTGTGCTGGGCTTTCGGGCTCTGGGCTCACACTGAGCATTTGAAGAAGGGTGGAACATCCTTTAGGATGCCTTTAGGCAAGTGGTCTGCTTTCCTATTTAGCTTTTTCCTGTGACCTCTGCTATGATTCCTACAACTGTGTATTCAAAAACCTTTATGAAGGTTTTACTGCTACCCTATGGGTCCAAAGCCTTGCTGTCCAGCCTGTTTCTTTTTCTTTGGACTGAAGTCTCTCCCTCCTCCAACCCCTCTGCTTTACTTTCCCAGCCTGTGCCCAGTGCTTAGCTTCCCCTTTCTTTCCTCTGCAACCCTCATTGCTTCTTGCCTAGCCATCATCAGAACCTCTGTCACTGGCTTCTCCTCTTTCGGTCTCTGGTTCAAATATGCTCAGGTTTGTTAGCCTAACAGCCATCCTTGCCCCTACCAGGTTGCAGGCACTTAGGTATGTGTCCCTGGGTGGGAGGAGGTGGGTTCAGATCTCTAACCCATGCCAACCTCTCTCCCAGCATCAATTTCTTCTGTCTTGTTGGGTTCACCACTTTGCACTCACTACTCACACAGGCAGCGTCAGGAAAGAGGATGGACATTGATCTTTGGCTGGCATTCAAGGCCTTCTACCATCTTGTTCATTCATCCCTCTTTCCCAGTCAGGGCGCATGACTCCCTTTCATGCATATTGTACGTTACAGCCAAACTGGTACAAACCCCATCATTCCTGACCTCTTCCCCATCATCACTTGGCTTCCTGCCAGAGGCCCTTTGCCTCTCCCATGTCCTTGTGTCCAAATCTTGATCTTACTTGTGATTCACCTCAGATGCCACCTCCCCCAGGAAGCCTCCTGCCTCTTACCAGGTAAACATTTGAATGCCCATAGCACCTGGTGCTGCAAGGGATGATTTACTGCTCCTCAGTTGCTCTCCTCATTTACTTGCTTCTTACAGTGTATGCCACTTTGCTTTCCTGCATCCCATGTCTTGTCAACACTGTATAGCCATCTCTGTGCCTGGTGTAGGGCCAGCCCACAGTAGACTCTGAGGTACTAGCTGCCTAACTGACAAATATTTCATGCTTGTCCCGAGCCCTAATCCTCACTGCAGCCCTTTAACATAGCTGCTGTTATGCATATCTTCTGAGGGGAAACTAAGGCTGAGAGAGATGAGGCAACTTGCCCAGGGTCACACAGCCAGCAAACAGCAAAGCTGGGTCTGTGTCCCAGCTTTTCTGCCTTTTAACTGGTACATTTTGTGACCTGAGTTAATTGGATGGATATAACTCTCAAAATAGTATGTATAAAAGCCATTGGGGGATATAAACTTCCGAAGATGTCACTGATTCAGAAAGAACACTAACTTTTTATTTAATTCATTTTTGTGGTGCTGGGGATTGAACCTAGGGCCTTGCACGTGCTAGGCAAGTGCTGTACCACTTGAGCCACCCGTCAGCCCTCATTTATTTTTTAAATCCATGTGTCTGGTGGGTTTTAGCCATGTCCTTTACCAAAGATAGCTCATAGTAGGGAACCCTCAAATTCAGGCAGAGAGAGCAGGGGAAAGATAGTCCCTTTCACCTGGTCTTCCTGGTTTTCCCTGGCTCCCTTGTGGCACTGGCTTCCCAGAAGGTGGCACTTCAAGGTCCCTCATCCAAATAGACAAGACCCCGGAGTGTTGGAGAAAGACAGCAAAAGCAGCTCTTTGTCTCTGCATTTCTTCAACCCTACAAATGCTTGAGGGGCAATGACAGTCAGGTATTGTCCTCAGTCCTCTTGGGATCACAGAGACTAATCCATCTCAGTTAAGAGCCTCTGTGGCAGTAAAAGGGATGAGACTTGAAATACTCTTAACATCCAGAAACAGGGTTAATGTGATTCCAGGAGACTCAGGAATTTACTACTGAGGAGGGAGAAGCCCCAACAGCTCCTGATTGCAAAACAGCTCTTGAACCCTGGCTTCCTATTTTACATCCCCAACTCCTGATTTGGTCTGTAGGTACTTGTTTCCAAGCCAGGATGTTTCAACACCCCTACTACAGTGCCAGGAGTTAGCTGAGGGCCTTGGTTTTAAGCCCTGGAAGGAGGTGATTAGAGGCTCTATGGTCACAGCAGCCTTTCTTTAACGAAGTGAAGGAAGCTAGGAGCTGCCTGATGTCTCCTTCCAAGGAGCAGTCTGGACAGTCACAGTTTTGGACTGGGGAAGTGAATGCCTGAGCAGACGCTAAGGGGTCTTTTGGACCTCCACTTTGTGCATAGTCATTTAGTCATTTAGTTTTGCTGCAAACGTGATTTGCTCTGACATTCAGAGCAGCTGGAATTTGCTGAAGGACACACAGTTGAGAGGCAGCTCTTGGCTGTGGTCTTGTGCTGGGTGTGGAAAATCAATTAGTAGACATGCACAGAGCCTTGTTGCTGGGGTGAAGAAAGCATTGAACTGAGCTTAAGGGCAGAACCCTTAGGGTTTCATGTTCTTGTTGTGGACTGGCACTGTGGACAGAACCAAAGACTTGCAGTAACCACCTTTTAGGGAAGAGAGGGAGCTCGCCTTGAGGAGAGAGCAGCAGAGTGGTAGGAAGATGTGGTCATAGGGAGGCGAAGATGTGTGCCTCATCTTACTGTTCTCTGCCATGAGTTGGTGTGGTAGATGGGTGAGTCCTTCCAAATCAGTAAGAAACCAGGGTCATGATCCAAAACCAGACAGTGTTCAAAGCTGTGTCCTTGGAGACTGTTACATCCAGAAGGGGACTCAGGAAGAATCTAAGATTTTTACTTAAGTGATTTACAGACAGAAAAACAGTAGGAAAAGCAACATGCCTCAGATGACAGGGTGTTGGCCCAGAATTGAGACAGCTTGCTTGTCCTCATGGAGCCTTAGAGATGGTTTAGTAAAGGAACAGAAGTAGATGGAGCAGGCTCACAGCAAGGAAGTGGCTTAATGTATACATTTGAGAAATCTGCTAGTGTGGAGGAGGCAATGGGGAATGTTAGCTGGGCCAAGTCAAGACTTACAGGGTCCGGGTGCCTGGGTACCTTTGGAGATGGAAAAGAGTCCATGGTGAGGGGAACCCATACTGCAGATGAAGGAGCGGGGAGGGTAACTGTAGGGTGGGATCCTTCCCAGCTCTGAGATGGGGTTCACAGTTCACAGTTCAGTTAGCGTAAGGTGGCGTTCTTGGGAGCTGACTGCTTGTTCTTCTGCCTCATCTCGTAGGTGATTGCCGTAGTAATGGATGTTTTCACAGACATTGACATCTTCAGAGATCTGCAGGAAATATGTAGGAAACAGGGCGTGGCTGTATACATCCTTCTGGACCAGGCTCTGCTCTCCCACTTTTTGGACATGTGCATGGATCTGAAAGTGCATCCTGAACAGGAGAAGGTTTGTGGTAAACTACTTCCAGTTTCAGCACACTCAGCAAATATGACAGCGTATCCTGCTCTACAAGGCAGTTGGTGGTGGTATGTCCATTAACAAGTGAGGCCACAAACAAAGCCATTTGCCTAGAGTCTCACAGAAAATGAACACCTGTGACTTTATAATTCTAGTCCTAAATATCAACCAGAGAAATGAAAGCACATGTCCACACAAAGAAGCATTATTCATAATTACCAGAGGATGGAAACCATCTGGTGTTCATCAGCTGATAAGTGCATAAGCAAAATAATTGTTTATACATACAATAGACTATTATTCAGCCATCAAAAGGAATGAAGTATTGACGTGCTGCAACAAGGATGATCCTGAAAATATGCTAAGTGAAGGAGGCCAGTCACAAAAGACCACATACTATATGATTTCATTTATACAAATACCACACTAGGGAAATTTATGGAGCTAGAGGAGGATTAGCATCAACACTGGGGAAAAGGGAACTAGAGGGATGAGTGGGGTTATAGCTAAGGGTACAAGTCCTCTTTTAAAGGTGATGATAATATTCTAAAACACACTGATAATGGCTGCATGTAAGCATTAATATACACGAAAACTACAGAATTGTATAGTGAGTGGGTGAATTGTATGGTGTGTGAGTTACATGTCTAACTTGAAAGGAAAGGAAATGGTAGACAATCTTCAAAGCCTTGGCTTCTCCCTGCCGCTGTGCTGCATCCTAACAGGGCACAGAGCAGCCCCACAGCTGAGCTGAGGGCCTGGAGGCCGTGCTGAAGCTGCTGCTTGCGACAGTAGCTCCAGAACGATGTGTTTTAAGTCACAGCAACCACCCTTTGTGGAGTTCCTGCTCTGTCCCAGGCACTCCTCCTGTTCTTCACAGATGTGATGTAACCAGTCCTTACAACAGCCCTGTCAGGGATGTGGCACTGCTCTGATGGTTCAGATCAGGAAGTGGTGACACAGAGAGCCCAAATGTCTACAGCTACACTGTTGTAGGCCTGAGGCTTAACACCATCTGCCTGCTTCCCACTGCTGTGCACATAACCACTATGGCCTGCTGTGCTCATTTCACGTTATTACCAAATTAAAATTTCTGTCCTTTTCTCTGGTCATGGTATTTAAACTTAACTTAGGTTTACACAATTTAGCTGACTTGGTTTCTTTGGCAGAACAAAGCAAGAGAATAGACATTTACTACAGAATTCATTTAAAAAAACTAAGCAACTTAGCCTATAAACTTCAGAACTTTATTCATCACCTATTGGACACCTATTATCTGTCAGATTTGGGTTTTGTACTGTAGGCTTCTGCATGCGAGATCTGCCTCCCCACCTTGTCATCAAGCACTCTGGTCTACACAGTTTCACCTGTTTAACTTCTCGCACACAGTTCTTGATGGCTGTTTTCTCTAATGAGAAAATGGAGGATTGGGTTTCATTACTCACTTGTCACTTGTGCCACAAGGTAAATTCACGATAGAAGTAGGATTGGGACTTAGAGACCAAATGAAATGAGACAGCCATACAACCCAGCAGTCAATTTAAAAATGAGATTGGGTAGACCCGAGGAAAATGTAAGTCAGGCATGGAATAGACTGCTGTCTTCTAACTAGGTATTTAATCCACAACTGCTCTCACAGAGAGCCAGGAGAAGAAATGGAAGGTGTCAGTGTGTAGCTTCAAGGTACTCTCTTTATAATTAAAACTGTAGCAGCAGAAACATCACAGAAGAGTTCTAGCTACAACTGCAATCTGGTGATCTGCTCTGCTTCACTGAGTAGGCAGAATCCAGACGTGTCTGCTGATTCCACTGCCCACTGTTGGTCATGGCCTTTGTGGCCACCCAGATTTTCTGTCAGAGGGTTGAAGGAGGTCTGTACCTCTGGTTGCCCTAGTTTTTGTAGTGTGTTAGCTCCTTCCTAGAAAGGCACCATCTCCCCTTCTACCTCTGGGCACACCTGTGCTGGTGAATCTGTGCCCTTACTGGTGCCCTCCCCCTCTCCCCCACTGTCCTGGTTTCTATAGTGGTTCAGAATGGTGGGTTGTCCTCTCTGTAGGAACTTGGCCACACTTTCACAGACAGGTGCTCAAAAGTGCTTTGGCCATAATCACAGAGGCCTGCATAATATTCAGATGTGTGTCAAAGGGAAAGATACACAAAGGCACTCCTAAATCTGCCTGTAGTGGTATTTTTATGCTTATTATATGTTGATCCTTTAAGACTCAGCTTCGAGTCATCACCTCCTCCAGGAAGTCCTCCTGCCAATTGCCAATCCACGTGTACATGTACTTCTATGAAGTTTTCTAGGGTTTTTGTTTGTTTACCACTTATACTGCATCTACAGCCTTTTGTTGTTGTTGTTGTTTTGATGATAGTATCTCACTAACTTTACCTCTACCTCCTGTCTGCTACCTCACCCTGCTTCTAGTTTTTAAAGAAAAACTTTACCTTGAAATAATTTAACATTTATAAAGAAATTACAGGGTCAGGTATGTTGACTCAGATCTATAATCCCAGCCACTTGGGAAGCCAAGATTGGGATGATCATGGTTTGAGGCCAGCCTAGACATAAAACTAGCAAGACCCAATCTTAACTAATAAGCCAAGTCTGGTGACACACACTTGTGGTCCCAGCTACAATGAGAGTCATTATTAGGGAGATCACTGTCCAGGCTAGCCTGAGCAAAAACATGGGCCCTATTTGAAAAATAACTAAAGCAAAAAGGACTGGAAGTATGACTCAAGAACAAGGTCTAGCAAGCACAAGGCCCTGGGTTCAAGACCCAGTACTGTCAAAAAAAAGTTACAAAGATAATGTTAGAACTTCCTGAATACCTGAAAACTCTTTGTCCAGAGCCTCCAAATGTTAACATTGTATGAACCTCAGTATAAATGACAAAATCAGGAAATAAGCTTGATATAATACTATCTAATCTACAGACCTTATAAATCTATCTCACCGGTACTTCCACTAATGCTCCTTTTTTGGTTCGGGTTCCAATCTATGACCACACCTGGTATTTATTTGTCAGGTGTCCTTAGCTCCATCTTTTGTCTTTCTGGGTTTGACACTGTTGAACAATGCTAGTCAGTGTTCTGTAGAATTTGGGCTTGTCTGATGTTTCCTCATGGTTCAACTCCTGTGGATTTTGATAGAATACCACAGAAGTAACAGTATGACAAGACTTAGTTTTTTTGGTTTTCATTTTTGACATCTTATTTTGAAATTATGCTAGATTCAGAGTTGCAAAGCCCATACAGAGAAGTTCCCATCCCTTCACCCAGTTTCCACGGTTGGATCTGAGTTAACTGATAGTCCAGTAAGGAACGCTGAGGTTGACATTGGGCTGGTGTGTGCTTAGTGCTGTTACCTTTAGCCCTCTGTCACGTCACTGCAGAGATCTCCCTCAGGCTGCTCCTTGATGGTACAGTACTCCCCTCTCTCTTCCCCCCACCTTAAACTCTGGCAGCCACTGACTTGTCCTCCTTCTCTGTCATTTTCTCCTCTAGAGTCTGTTGTATAAATGGAATCACACAATATGAGGTTTTTTGAGATTGGCCTTGTCCACTCAGCATGACACACACAAGATCCATCTAAGTGTTGCATACATCAATAGTTTGTTCCTTTTTAATGCCAAGTAATATTGCATGGTATGGTTGTGCAATGGTTAAATACACCTATGTAGGACATCTGAATAGTTTCTGGGTTTCCACTATCATGAATAAAGTTGCTATGAATATTCATGTACAGGTTTTGGGGTAGACAGAGGTTTTCATTTCTCTGCTTGATGTTATGTGTTGCCATAAGTTTCTAATCATTCAGTTACTTTTTTTTTGTAATCCTGAGGGCAAGAAGCATGCTTTATAGTCTGTATTGTCTCAAAGCTAGGCACATAACATAGAATGACAAACAACAATCTTTAAATTTGAATGTGTAAGATTTCTAAGGATATCTAGTTCCTGGTTTGCTCTACAGAATGCAGACTGTCTTAGTATTTGCATGCTATTATATATGCATTTACTTGTGTCATTTTACAAAACTAATTACGCCTACACACAAACATATAGTGTATTGCCAGCATACTCTTTTGGCATACATATATGAAGGAGATGTGACTAACCCATGTGATGTACTTCTGTCCCAGCTTTACTGTATCAAGAAGGTTTGTCCTCTGTTCCTATCTTCAAACCCCTCAGTGTGTGGGGTGAAGTGTAGAGGGCTCTTATTCCTTAGTGATGCCATTAAACAAGTGTAGAAGCACCAGCTTAGCCTCTCTGTCACAGTGCCATTCATTACTCACATGTTGTCTTTGGTTATTTTACCCCCATATACACTTTTTGTTTACAAATCATCTCTTGGACTCTTAGTCTCCTAAAAAAGGTGAGTCTTTTTTTAGAGTCCATATACATATGAACTAAGAGCCTCAAAGTAGATAGAAGGGAAGCACATGTGAGAAGATGGACTAAAGGGAGAAGAACATTACTGGAGTAATATCTGCCTACTACATCATGTGTGTTGCTACTAAATGGTGACCCTAAGCCATGCACTGCCAGTAAGTTTGTTTGGGAACTGTAAACTAAGCCCTCTTACTCATTTGATCACTGGATGAGTGTCACAGACTTGTTCATTGATTTTTCTCTCACTCCCTCGCCAACAGCTGATGACAGTGCGGACTATTACAGGAAATATCTACTATGCAAGGTCCGGAACAAAAATTGTTGGGAAGGTTCATGAAAAGTTCACTCTGATTGATGGCATTCGAGTTGCAACAGGCTCCTACAGGTACATTTCTAAAGGTGCATTGCTTATTCCTAAACTCTTCCAAGGAGGCATGTCACCCCAAGGTAAATGCTGTTCCTCTGAGTGAAAGCCTTTGTGCTCAGCATTCCTGTGGGTGCACAGGAGTGTGTGAGTTGGCTCAGCACAGCCCCTTTCTGTGGAGGTGGTTGGCCTGGGAGTCACGTCACCTGCTCTGGTGACAAAAATAAAATGCAGAGCTTATACTAGCCTCGAGATCACATAGTCAGCGAGCTCTGATTCAAGCCTTGTCTTGGCCTGTGGGGGACTAATTGGGAGTTAACAGTGACACACGTGGCCTTGAAGCATGGTTTCTTGGGGGTGTGGGCCCCACTTGCCCCCTCACTTAAAATCTACTTGAAATCTACTGCTTCAGTCTAGAAAGTCCTGTTTCAGACCCACCTTGGATGTCTTACTTTGGCAGTAGTCTCTTCAGGGAAACTGAGTGGAGGGGAGGGAGCATGAGTGGTTAACACTGGAAATTGTGCTGTTTTACTCATGTGACTTCATGGTTGTGTGCTTCGTGCCTCTCCATTGGTTGTCCCATGGCATGTGTGAGGCTAATGAGTCTACAGAGTGTAGAAAACTCCACTTTTGAAGACCCATATGTTCCCTGAGCGATAATTCCATTTGTGGCAGATGAGGCATTAAGACAAAGAAGTACTTCATACCTTCCTTTCCAAATAATATCATTGTTTAGAACAGAATTAGAACTCTCTTGACTTCCTTTTGTAAGATGTGTATAAATATCAGGAGGAAATAAAAATTTTCATCCAAGGTGGGATTTAGTCATACTAACAAAACTTAGCTCCAAATTATTTTTGACTGTTCTTTGGCTGTTCTAAAATCTAAAAATATAAAAATTCCCCTCTGCAAATGAGCTGTACCACTACTTATGACTTTAACAGCTTCCATGTGTTAGGACATGTTATAGTGTTGGTGTGGGTAGCTACTTTGTTTGTCTTACCTTGTTGAGGATTTTTAAAAGCATCTTTCTCAGGCTTTGAAGGCAGATCTTAGGTAACATTTGCATTAGTCAGGGTTCTTGGCTGCAGAGGGAGTATTTTTTGTTTTTTTGTTTGTTTTGGTACTGGGTTTTGAACTCAGGGGCTACACCTTAAGCCATTCCACCAGCCCTTTTTTGTAATGGGGTTTTCAAGATAGGGTCTCGTGAACTATTTGCCCGGGTTGGCTTTGAACCGCAATCCTGATTTCTGCCTCTTGAGTAGCTAGGATTACAGGCGTGAGCATCTGGCTCAGAGGCAGAGTTTGAAACTATGTTTTAGGATCTCTAATTAAAGCATCCTACCTCTGGTACAGTCTCTATCAGTGGAGTAACTGCAAGTGTCAGGAAGCTAATTTACCAACTCAGAACGTGGTAAAAACCATTGGTTTTCAGCTCCTCTTGACCTGGGGGCCAGACATTTATCAGAACCCTATCTCCCCATTCTTTTCTCTGGCTGATCTTTATTCTCAAGCAGGCTCTCCCTTTGAAGGGAAAGACCCTGGCTTAAATATACAGCCTTTAGTAACTGTCTCCCACAGAGAGACTTTCTCACAGCAATGGTATTTGGTCTTCTTACTTTTTGTTATATACATATATACATCTCTTAAGACTTAAAATATAAACATATATTAAGACACTGCATTATACATGTGTGGTTTTTTGTTTTTGTTTTTTGTTTTGGCTGTACTGGGGCCTGAACTTAGGGCATTGCGCTTGCTGAGGAAGCACTCTACCACTTGAGCCCACCTCTAGTCCAAAGTTGGGACTTTTATATGGCAGGATATCTGAGCTTTAGCATTCAGGTTGACAGTAAGTAACTGAAATTCCTCATTCTTACTTGCTTCTGTGGTTTGTTTTAAATCCTTCAGTTTTACCTGGTCAGATGGCAAATTAAACAGCAGTAACTTGGTAATTCTGTCTGGCCAAGTGGTTGAACACTTTGACCTGGAGTTCCGGATCTTGTACGCCCAGTCGAAGCCCATCAGCTCCAAACTCCTGTCCAGTTTCCGGATCAGCGGCAAGTTTGACCATCTCGTTGACTGGAAGCCACAGTCCAAGGAGCTCACGCTGGGCAACCTGCTACGCATGCGGCTGGCCAGACTGTCCAGTACGCCCAAGAAGACCCACCCCAGCCTGGAGGCACCTGTGGAAGGCAAGGGCGGGACTAAGCGCCATGACTCCGAGTCCTCCACCATCAGTGAGGAGGACTACTTCCACAGCCACAAGGACGAACTGGAGGACAACAAGGCCGTGAATGTCGCCACCCAAACAGAGTCAGGAGAGGAGCCAGCTGTAGTGAGTGTGAGCGAGGCGGGAACGCAAACCAGCTCCAGCACCACCTGTGCCGGGACCCAAACTGCAGTCTCCACCCGGGCAGCAAGCTCCCAGACCATGGTGTGGTCCAGGGCCACCACCACGCAGACTGACCCGGAGGAGATCGGGCTCCTTTCTCAGGGAACTCAGTCTAAAGAAGGATCACCTGTGTCAAAGATGTCTGTGTCAAGGTCTTCCAGTTTGAAGTCATCCTCCTCTTTGTCTTCCCAGGGCTCTGTGGCCAGCTCTGTTGGCTCCCATACTTCTCTGAGAGCCACTGACCTCCACAATCCTGGATACCCCAAGTACCTGGGCATCCCCCAGCTGGATCTGTGCCTGAGGGACTCATTCAGAAACTTGAATCAAGAGCGACAGTTTCTCTTCACTGGCATCAGGTCCCGACTCAATCACATGCTGACCATGCTGTCTAAGAGGACAGTCTTTACCGAAAACTATCTTAGCTTTAGTCCTGGGAATTATACCAGAGCATCAGTGAACCTGGTTGCTATTAGAGACATACCACTGTACCCTTCCTATCAGTGACTCCTCCTGTCTGTGCTATCAGACCTTCTTGCCTTAACAAACATCACACCTCCTGGATTCCCTCTCTTTCACCTGACTTTTGGTCCCCTTGGCTGTCTTTGAACTCTGTCCTGCACATTCTTTTACATGGATTCTGCACATTGTTGCATGCTTTTATTTTTGTCCTGTAGAAACTAGGTTTAATGGTTTAAACACTATGGGTATGGTTTTTTGCACAATTTTAATATTGATATCACTTAAAAAGAATATTTTGTTATCTTAAGGTTAATGGGTAGGAGAGAAATGTTCTGTTTTCTTTATTTGTGTGCTATTTGCACCATTTTTTAAAATCAAAATTCTACTTGGAAAAACAAAACTGTTTTTCTATTTAAAATATCTGTGTTGTTAGCATTAGATAAATATAAACAACTTTTGTTTGTAAATTATCTAGATTATAATAGGAAAAAAATACATCTACTTAAAAGTTAGAAGATGAACTGGGGCCTAGATCAAGTGGCAAACCACTACCTAGCAAGTGTGAGACCCTGAGTTCAAATCCAAGTAGCATACACACACACACAAAAGACAACATAAAGCTGGTAGTGGTCATGCCATCCTGGCATGGCGAAGACCAATATTACTCTGTGTTTGAATGAGGAACCTTGCCCACAGTAGCAAGTCTTTGCAAAAAAAGCCTGAGTTATTTCAATGACGACCTGGGCTCTCTGCTTGTCTCTCAAAGGAGTCTTGGTGTACATTCCTGGAATCCTGCCTGACATAAATTCTAGGGGCCCCATGGGCCTCATTTCATCAGATGGGTGTATCATATGCAGTGATTTAGCAATCTTATATCCCAGAGTAGAGGCAAGAGAGGACACTGACAATTATCCCAGATTCCTCGTCCAGTGGCAGCCAATGTAACTAGTTTCTACATCCTGCTGATCAGGGTCGGTATGGCTGTGGAATCTTGTTCTTGTCCAGTCTTATTCACCTGTTCAGACAAAAGGAAGAGTTAAACCATGGCTTCCTCCTGGCTTGCTAGAGCAGAAAAGTGTATAATAGGGAGGGTGTTGTCTGCTGTGTAGAATGCTGATGTGCCTGGATGCAGAGCGCTCCTGCAGGTTTTCACGCATGTTCCAGAACTCCAGTGCCATGACAGGTTATTTACTGGGTTAGTGCTGTGATCCTTGGCTGTGAAGCAAACTTGAAACTGGTCCATATCTGGCTATAAGCAACTCTGGGTTGAGCCTCAAATTCATTATTATTTGAAGCAATTTATGGAGTTAGGCTCCTTTACATGTGCTACCTTAAATCCCCACAACAGTGTAGTAGAGAACTTCATAGGTTAGATAGGTATTATCCAATTTTCAGATGAAACTGAGGTTTTTTTTTTTTTCATTTTTATTAGCATATATTCATTATACGGGGGAATTCATTGTGACATTTCCAAATAGCCTTACATTGAACATTGGTTAGATCACCCCCTACCATTTCCTCCTCTCCCCATTTCAATCCCCTCCCCACTCCACTTAAAGCAATTGCAAGAGGTCTATTTCATATACGTATATGAAGTCCATCAGCCATATTCCCTCACCTCATATCCTCCATTCACCCTCCAACCTCCCACAAGTACCCCCCACACTGTACCTATTCTACAGTCCTGTCTTTCATTTTTAATTCCAAAGTCAATGTTCAGAGGAGCTTCTTGATATATCCTTGCTGTGAGTCTACTTTACTTTGGTCAGTTCAGCCTTTTCCAGTGCTCTCCCTTACCCCTTCCCTCCCACCCCCCCATTATTCCATAGCTTTCAGGACCTATCGTTGTGTCCTCTACCTGTACAGTTGTCATATATTTCAATATTGTTGACTCTACCATTCTCTTTTCTCTTCCCTCCTCCCTGAGTTCCATAGAGTAGTTCCACTGTCACAAACCTGTTCTACATACAAATGGGGACACCTAACTTGAACTGCAGCAGTATGGCGGTGAACAGAAAGCAGAAATGTAGCCTTGTGAACAAATGTAGGTACAGATCCCTAATTTGTGACCATTTATTTTAATTTTGTTTGAAAATCTAACTGTGTTTATAGGATTATATGTAAAAAGTTCCATGTGTAGTTTTGGAAGTGCTGGATAAGTGCTGGATCAAACAAATTACTTGACTTTTTTTTTTTTTGGTGGTACTGAGGATTGAACCCACGGCTTTACACATGCTAGGCAACTGCTTCACCACTTGAACCATACCCTTAACTCCTGTGGATCAAGTAAATTGAAGCAGTGTTCTTTACTCAGACTACTCAGGAAATAAAGATGAGTGAATTTTTCAGCAGGTCAAATACCTGGCCTGTCACACACTTACCTGGCCATACTGTCCTTTTTTTGTGAGCAGGACTCAAACCATTGTTCTCTGAGAGAAAGTGTCATTAACAATTATAAATAAGAACAATAGATACATGGAATCCTGAGAAAATGGCCCCATCTCTCAGAATGAGCAAAGCTTTTCTGGAACTTATATCTGGAAAGTTATTGTAGCTCATTTTCTCAGAGTGAAATCTGAGGGTCCCTGTGTCAGAATATACTGAGGTGCTTGGGGACTGGGTGTGTAGCTCAGTGGTAGAGTGTGTGCTTAGCGGGTGCAAGGCCCTGGAAAAAAAAAAAAAGAAAAGAAACTGTTGCTTCCCAGAGGAGGGGAGGCAGAGTGTGACAGACCACATGCTTCAAAAATTACATTCTCTTTTATCAGGTGTCAGATGGTTACCTGTATCCACCTGATGTCAGACTTGGCTATAAATATTTCAGCATGTATCTCTCCCTTTTTTCCCTTTAGTTCTGGGGACTAAACACAGGCCTCACACAGGCTAAGCATATAGTGCTATCACTGAGCTACATCCCCAACCAGCATATAGCTCTAAAAGACAACTCACTTAAAAAACCAAAACCACAATACCACTATCACATCCAAGCAACTTTGATAAAATGTTCTCAATGTCATCAAATAAATACTCAATGTTCAAATTCAGTTGTTTCATTTTTTTTTTCTTCCTGAAAGTTTGAGTTAGAGATCCCTATAAATTTCAGATCGACCCAGTCAGACTGCAAGGTTGATGTTCTTTTGTAAAACAAGGAAGGGGTTGAAGAGTTAGCCACCCCCTTAAGCAGGCAGTGGGGCTGGAGACTATCTCTTTTTTACTTATGGGATTTAAAATGACCAACAAGAAAGCCTAAGTTACAAAGTCATGTAAACTAAAAGTTACAGGAAGGAAAACCAAGGGCAGGGGATGCAAAACGCAGTCAGACATGAAGCTAAAGTGCATGCTGTGACATACTTCATGTAGGCTAACATGTAACTTTAAATTTTCTAGTAGCCAAGATAGTCAGGGCCACCAGTCAATGTCCACAAGAGTGAAGTAAATCCAGGAGCAGGATGAACAATTGTCCCTGGTACTAACAGAACGTGAGCAGTTGTTACAAGGATCTTGTCATTAAGATGATAGTCTCACACATTCTGAGACTCCCATCTTGGTAATAAACAATGACAGATCTTGGGATATACCCAGAGCCTGGACCCCACACAGGTAGTCGTTTGACGCTCTAGTGACGTGGACATATTCAGAGGTATTCCGTGAGAGGGGACTATGTACCTTATGCAGACGATGTTCAGGTAAGTATTGTTTCACTGGTGCCCCATACTTAGACAAGTGCCCCAGTTTGCCTGGCAAAGTGGCCCAGTTTGCCTGGCAGATTTCCAGTTTGTCTCTTATTTCCAGGTCCCATCTGTGTAACACTCCCTTTCATTCTCAAAAGTGTCCCAGTTTTTTGACAATACGCAGAAAACACCTCCCAGACTTAAGGAGGCCTTTCCCAACCCATCCAGCTTCATAGTCACACACCCAGGCCAGAATCATGGGGCTCTCTGGTGTCTTCTGGTGGTGAGTGCGCCACAGCTCTGCACTCAAATCCTCCAAGCTGGGCTGGTGGAGTGGTTCAAGTAATAAGAGTGTCTGCCTAACAAGTGAGGCCCCGAGTTCAAACCCCAGTATTGCTAAAAAAAGAAAAAATCCTTGAAAGCTAGGTGAACACTTTTGCTTATGCTAATGCACGTGTGATCTTGATCACTGGTGCGCAAGCCAACAAGTCAGACATGTTTATATATGCTACCACAGTGGCAGAGGACTGGATTTTAGACTCTCAGTGGGCAATTCTGCAAAAGATCTTTCCATGCTGGTGAGGGGCGGGGCGGGGGGGGGGCGGTTGGTGTCAGCTAGCTGTCTGCTATGGCTTCAGGGAACCTACTCAAAGGTAGTTAACATTTTTTAGAAAGCTAGCAGTTCTAGCACACAGACTTGTCGATGGTTGCAATGGATATAGGTTATTTCTGCTTCATCTATCCATTTGAGACATTCTGTTCCCAACTCTCAGTCCATGTGATTCTAGTGAAGCTGACCATATCTGAACCTGGGGGAAGGAATAACCTAGGCCTAAACCAATTAGCACATTGTTTTCCCTGGCCCTGGTGAGTGATTCAGGGAAGGATATTTGTGCCAGCTACAGAGATTTTGTCAGGGAATTTAGGAAAGAGGTTTGATGGTTATGAGGATGTGACAGCTGGAAGTTGACATGGCCATGTTTACCACATTATGTCTGAGTCAGAAGGCAGCAGAACACGATATCAGAATATGTGTGCAGTTGTGTCTCAAAGTCACACTACTCTTGTATGTTTTAGTGGGTTGGGTCTCCTCCCTCCTTCCCTCCCTCCCTTCCTCCTTCCTTCCTTCCTTCCCTCTTTTCCCTCCTCTTCCTTCTCCTTCCAATCTTGGAGTACCAAGATTGCTTAATGGACTGTCCACCTATCCCCTATCCCCAAGCTTTCCCCTTGTGTTGGTTAGGGTCTCTTAGCAGAACAGAAGTAATAGCATATTTATCTATATAGAATTATAAAAGAGGATTTATTAGATTGGTTTACATGATCAGCACAGCCACATTCCAGGACTTGATCTTTTCTTTTTCCTGCCTCAAACTTAGGTGAGGGTAGCTGTTGTAACAGGTAAACCATGATATTTCCAGAATTCATAATGATCTTCATTTCTTTTCTCCCCTCCCCCTCCTCTCTTCTCCTTTTCCTCTCCTTTTTACTCTCCTCTCTTTTCCTTCCTTCCCTCCCTTCCTCCCTCCTCCTCCCTCTTCTTCTGTATTGGGGTTTGAACTTAGGGCCTCATGCTTGCTGGGCAGGCACTCTACCATTTGAGGCACTCTACCAGCCCAGTTTGGATTTTCTGTCACTTGTATCCATAAAAGCCTTAACTCTGGTACAGTGATAAAACCCCTAAATTCTTTGTTTACTAAATATAGTCAATATGCTTTATCTAGAAGTATTTCAAAACAGAGAGAACCAGTTACCATAGGCACAGAAACTTCTACTATGTATCCAAGAAAAATGATTTTGGGGAACATTATCTTTCTGGAAAACTTATCATCATTTGGAAGTTGCAAAATGTGCCTCTATGTAACAAAATGATTGATTTTTATTTTGTGTGTGTAATTGTTGACAATGAACTAAATAAATTCTGATGCCATCTTAAATAATTGTTTTATCCAGGTGTAGTGGCTCACACTTGTAATATCAGCATTTGAGAGGTTGAGACAAAAGTGTCTGCAATTTGAGGCCAGCCTGGACTACCTAATGAGAATTTGTCTCAAAAGGAAAAAAAAAAAAAAAAAAAGGAATGATGTTTTTAATTTTAGAGTAGCTATTTTAGGATTTTCTTCCTGAAAATAGCTAATTGGTCTATTGAGATCTTTCCTAGTTTATATAATAAAACCACACCATCAACATGGATTAAGTAGGCATTTTCTTTAATAGAAGTCTGTGTAACCAAAATAACCCATTTGGGGATGTTGCACTTGGAGAACTTTCTGAGGTAGATGAAGTAATTTGTATCTAGGACTGTCCAGCCTGGGAATTAGGAAGCCTGAGTTCTAATTTCAATTCTGGTACAGAATTAAATCGGGTCATTGATTCTGATCAAGTCCTTTCAACTTCTCTGGACCTCAATTTTCTCTTCCTTAAGACGAGGAATTTAGATGTTGACTAAAGTCTCCTCCAGCTTTAGGACTGTGATTCAACAATTTGGGCATGGCCAATCTATTGTAAACAGGAAGATTTCTTCACGTGAAGTCATGAGTCATACAAAACATGGAAAAAAAAGCTTCCTGAAGTCCCAGCTACTTCTACATGCAGAGGCAGGAGAATGGCTTGAGTTTTAGAGCAGTCTTTAAAAAAAATTAAAACATGGCATTTGTTTTATTTCCCCCTGAATTTATGTATAAACCTTATTTTCTATGTTTAGGCCTTTAGTGAAAATAAGACAAAAACATGGATGAATGTTTTGAAGAACTAAAACTTAGTATAAAATATAGTGTGGGACTAGGGGTATAGCTCAGTGGTGGAGCACTTGCTTAGTATGCATGAGGACTTGGGTTAGATCCCCAGAACTGACTCACACCAGACAAAAATAAAGCATATATAAACATACATGTATATATGTATGTATACATACATATATATATATATATATATATATATGTATATATTTGAATATGCACTTTGGGCAGTTGGTAACAAATATGAATATGACATGATCTTGTCCTTAAGAGCTCCCTGACTTCTGTAAATGCCACAATGTACCCCCAACCAGCACAACAATGAAAAAAAAAGTTCCCTGTATAATAGTGAAGGCAGATTAACTGTAGTTCAACCAAATAAGTATTATCCAAGAAGTGAAAAAAAAAAAAGTGAACATAATAGGTCCTGAGTCTACAGAGGTAAATGCTTAAGCTGGATAGGGAATTTAATAGAAGTACTAGAGCTGGCCCTTAAAGGATAAGCGTGAATGGAAAATTCTAAGTAGAAGGATTAACATGCTTTGAACCCTATTTTCATTATTAAGGAAATAAATCAGGGCTGGCCAAATGGCTCAAGTGGTAGAGTGCCTGCCTAGCAAGTGTGAAGCCCTGAGTTCAAACCTCACAACTATCAAAACAAAACCAAAAGAAGTGAAATAAATCTAAGAAGATATTTGGAAAATGAACATATGTGTGTAAATTCAGACATTTCCACCTGATGGATTTACTCCATATGAGTTGAAGTAAAGAGCTAAAAATGACTGAGTGCCTGAAATGTTTTGCAATGTGTTAGATACTTTACATGTTATCTTATTTATTATCTTTTAAAGTTTCATTTTAGGGCTTGAAGTGTGGCTCAAGTGGCAGTATGCCTGCCTAGTAAGCACAAAGCCTTGAGTTCAAACCTCAGTACCGACACACACACACACACACACACACACACACACACACACACACACACACACACACACACACAAATATCATTTTACAACTAAGATTAAATGTCAGCTAGGAGCCAGATGGCCAATTGAGCATTTCGAACCGGTGTTACTCATATCTAAAGCCTTTGTTCTTGCCATAACTACCTCAAAGAATGCAGTGTTTTCTTCACAGCTCTTAAAATGCACAGATTCTAAAACCTCTTACTACCTTTCGGTTAGTAGCCACCTATAAAATATTTTTACTTGAGTTCTTTAGCCCTCATTAGCTCTCCTTTGTATTAGTTGAATCTTTCCCAAACTTGCTGCTGGGCCTAATAACTCAGGAGAGGCTTAGGTCGTGTCCCTGCAGATTCGGGATTGGATGGGGGCTTAGAATCTGCATTTTAACAAGCATTTGATTCATCAGCAGTCGACTTGGAGGATATATGGAGTGAATGCCCTGGCCTAGCTGATCTAATTTCTACGATCTTCTTCCAACCCATGACCCCGTTTTCCAGCTTTGTTCTCAAAAGACCGTGAAAACGTCCGTAACATTTCACATCAGTTTACTTGCTGTTAATAAGCATTGCCGTTTATCCATGGTTTATCATTTATAAATCACTTCATCCCTACCCCAGCCTTGGGACAGAAACTGCAGTAGCTGGGCATACAGCAGACGCCCAATATTTACTGAAACATCAAACCCAGAGGTAGTTACATTGTTATCTTTTCATATGAAAATAAGGAGGCGCCGAAAGGTAGCAAAAGTTTAACATAATCAGCATAATCAGCATCTCTTAATTCGGGAAGCACTGCCTCGGCGCACACCGCGGGCAAGGTCCCTCATGCCAGCGGCGCTTTCGGAAAGCCCGCTGTTCTTCAGGTGTGCGGGGACCGACGACGCCTCGCCCGGCTCTAGACTGTCACCTAGTACCCTGACCCACCTAGCCCCGCAAAATCTGAACACCGCGTCTTTAGCGCTAATAAGGCCGGGCGGGGTCACGTGGGCCGGGGGCGGGGCCGCAGCCCTTGCGGAAGACAACCCAGGTCACGTGGCTCGAGGGCGGGGCCACGGGGGCGTGGCCGCCATGCTGTTCGCTTCTCCTGGGCCTAGGATCCTCGCGCGCCACGCCCCCTCTGCCCTGCGGGACTCGCGAGCGACGGCGGGGCGGAACCTTTCTGGTGACCTTTCACCCCAGCATGGCTGCGCCCGTGGGACCCGTGAAGTTCTGGCGACCGGGTAAGGCCCGGGGCGGAACGCTGCGCAGAAGCGTCCTGGGGCCTGCGTACTGTTCGTAGGCTTGGCCTCGGCGGGCTGGACGCCTCGCCTCTGTCGCGCAGGTGGACGCTGCGGTTCTGCTGTCCACCGTAGTCCCGGGGGATTTGGGAGCCCGCCCCCGACTTGGGTAGAACCCCTGAGTGTCCCTGTTCGAGTTTCTCAGTCTCCTGGGCTTCGTTTCCCTAGTTGCTGAGCCTTGCTTGCGCACCCCGCGTGGTGGGGACGCCTAAAGCGCCCACGCGTGTCTTGCTGCGGCCCTGGGTTGTGCTGGGGCCGCACAGGCGGAACTGCTCCAGGGCTTAGGAGCTCTAGCTGTGGAGGACGGCCGCCCCGCTTCAGATCTTCTTCTCTCCTTGTAGTGGTAGGGTGACCTTGGGCCAGTCGTTGAACCGCCTCCCAGCCTTGCTCTCCTCTCTGTAAAATGGGCAGAATGGTAACATCTATCCGTGGGCTCCAATCGAGAGCGCAACGCGTTGTGTAATTTGAAGTGCTCATAAAAGGGAAAGTGTGTTCTGTTCTGTTAGGATAATTCTTGTCCATTCTGAATGGCTACTTTATATTGGCTACTGCTTAGTTCTCTTGCAGAAGAACAGAAATCATTTTCACAAAATGCCTTTTGATTTTGGCACTTCATTAATCAGGTTTTTATTCAGTGTATCTGTATATATATACTGGGCCATACTAGGTGCATTATACTTCTTTGTCCCTCAGTTTTTTTTAACAATTACCACTTTTTTCCCCCTCACCATCTGCATATTTGTGAGCCTGGATGTGCAAACTATTTGGCAGCAAAAATGAGATGAGACAGAAGAGGTAATACAAGGGACTTTTCTAAAGAGTGTTTTAGAGTGGCTGCCTGATATTCTAACTGTGCACTTAAATGACGTGGGAGACAAATCCACACAAGGATGTGCCACCAAAACCAAGATCTCTTTGAGTAATGTGTTACCTTTTATTTATTGAAGCATTTAGCAACAAGTCAAAGTTGTTAAGTATAAGAAAAACTTGAAGGAACTGTTGAAAGTCAGACCAGGGTCCTATTATGGAATTATTCTAGAGTTCTACTGCATTGAGAACACTGAACCCTTAACCCAATAGTCAGGAGACAACTGTAGATGACCAGGGCTCTGTTCTCTGTGCTTTCTCTTAATTGGATATGAATTAGATGTGCATTAGATTTTAAATGAGACATAGTGAGGTGGTGGTAAAGAAGATGGGTTCATAAGTCAGGATCGCTTTCCCACCTTCACTACTATTGCTGACTTGGTGACTTGACAGAGTACATAAGTGCTCAAGGTCTTGGTTACTCCATTTGTAATTTATCATAATAGGATTGTCAAGGATTAAATGAGAATAATACATGAAAGACTCTTGTAACTAGATACACAGTTATTATAATTATATGAAAGTATAGAAAAGGGAGGGAACATTGAATGTACATAAGAACTATTCATAGAGATGGCAATAGTTTTGGAATGAATGTTGAATAAGGTTTTGTTTCATGGCGAGGTAGGGAATAGAACGCTAGGCAAAGGGTGCAGCATGAACAAAGGCACAGTAGGATTTGTGCTTTGAATGTCCAAAAAGCCAAAATAATTGAGTAGTGTGATGGTGTTATGTGGTAGGGTGTATATTGAGGTGCAGCAGGAAATGGAGTTAGAAAAGTAGGGAGCGGCCTCACTGTGAAAGGTCTTTGTGGAAAGTTACAGAATTTGGAGTTCACTGTTTTAAGCAGAATTACAGTCAGGTTTACTTTAGAAAGATAACCCTGGCAGTGGTGTGGTGAAGAGCACCACTCCTAAGAGAGGGTGCTACTAAAATCCAGTAGGGTTGTTAAAACCTCCTTTGTAGCCTAGGAGCTTATTGGAGGGGCCTTATAGAGAGTTATTTTAGAGGCAGATGTAGAAGAAGGTGAAGTCAGTATGACTCAGAGTTCTGGGTTGGGTGACTGTCTAGGTAAGTGGTTTTCAAATTTTGCTGTATAGTCACATCACTTGGGAAATGGCCTGTTCCACCCCTTTGTCAGTAAATTAGAGGCTGGAGGATTGGGAGTCAGGCAGCAGTATGTTTAAACTCTTGAGGGGAGTCCACCATGCATCACTGCATGAACCACTGGTCTAGGTAAACTGTTGATATTGACTGAGATGCTAATAGCTTTGGTGCACACTTAATGGACCCTTGGCAAGTCACTTTCACTTATAGCATCTTATCACACAGTCACCATAGCTCTGTGGTGGAGTTAGTATTTTTTTTTCGTGGGACTAGGGTTTGAACTCAGGGCTTCCTGCTTGCGAAGCAGGTGCTCTACTGCTTGAGCCACACTTCCAGTATTTTGGAGATAGGTTCTTGCAAACTATTTGCCTGGACTGGCCTGGAACTTTGATCTTCCTAATTTCAGCCTCCCAACACCCAGCAGGAGTTAATAATACTCTTACAGATGAGCTAACTTAAGGTGGTGAGAAATGCAGGTCAGGGAGTTGAAGCTGGCTATGAGGCTAGATGTTGAAAGCATGAATATATCCTGTAGGCCAGAAGTCTCAGTCTGAAATGGCTACAAGGGCTTTTTACAGTCTAAGAACGCCCGCCTAGCAAGCATGAGGCCCTGAGTTCATACTCCAGTGCCACCAAAAAAACCCCAAAAAACAAAAACCCATGATTAAAAGAGTGAAGCAGTGTAGTGGAATAATGAGTGATGGGGGAATGTGTGTATGTACACCGTGTAGATACTTACAGTGTATATACACACAAGTACTTGTATGTGCTGTCTAAAATAGAAATTGTGTCAAACTCCATCTAATTGTTATCACATGGGCTCAGAGTTGCCCGATTTTTTTCTTTTAAAGTAGTCTAATATCCAGATTCAAATGGAAAATTTTTGTGATAATGATAGCATGTCTGGGGACCTTAAGCCGTTAGTTTGTCAGTAACAATACTAACCTAACCTTGGATGACTTGCTTGAGAGTTTTCTGGAAAAAACTCTTGATTTAATTTGCCAGCACACATGAATCAGAAGGGCCTGTCTCTTTTCATTTGCTGACCTTATACCTTCTAAAAACTTTATAGCACGGCTTTGACCTGACTCAGTAAGAAATTATTGTACTGTGATCTAGCACACATACTTTTTTTTTTCTTTGTAGTACTGGGGTTTGAACTCAGGGCCTACACCTTGAGCCAGTCCACCAGACTTTTTGTGATGAGTTTTTTTCGAGGTAGGGTCTTGGGGATTATTTGCCCGGGTTGGCATCCAACCGCGATCCTCCTGATCTCGGCCTCTTGAGTAGCTAGAATTACAGGTGTGAGCCACCAGCACCCAGCTTAGCACACATACTTAACTGAAAAAAACTGTACAAAAATAATGTTCCTTTCTGGAATATGCCATTTATTTATTTATTTTTGTGGTTCTTACAATTGAGCCCAGGGCCTCACACATGCACTCTACTGAGCTACTCCCTAAGCCTCTCTTTCTGTTTGATTATTTCAAAAGTGCTGGTATGGCCCACTACATCAATTTCCTATTTACTAATGGGTCACCACTCAAATGTTGAAAAACTAGGTTAAAGGGAATGCTGGATTGAACCTTGCTTTACACATGGAGAAATAAAGTTGTTAATTGTTTTAAAAAATTACAAATTCTTCCTTTAGCATGGAGTATACTACCAATGGAAAAGCAACCATAAACAGAGTGGGCTGTGGGATGTGTAAAAAAGAAAGCAGCCCTCATGTTCTGATTTGGCTGAATGGTCTTTTGTAAGAGAAGATAAACTCTGTATTGATTGACAGCAGCTGTTCTTGTAAAAGAGCTCATAACAGAATTAACTGCGATGAACTGGGCTGTAGGTTGGAAACAAGGGAGGGATAGGGTGGTGCGGATGAGCCCTGGGTGCAGCAAACCCTGGTGGGAGGAAGTGTGAGAGCTTGCAGGAGCAATGTTAAATATTCCAGGCATGGTGGATGGTTTAAAATGTTTTCAAAATAAGGAATCCTGTACAGGCACAGTGCAGTAGAGGGTATAGTATTCTTTGCAATACTTTTCTCATTTAAAGCTATAAGAGGTAGCAATAATAAGAGAAGAATGGAAAGAAGCTTGCTTCTTTGAGCATAGACTTTGTTCCAGGTTTTGTTCTTTGTTTGATCTCGTTGAAAGGAAGGTCAACATTTTGGCAAGAGCAACATAGCAGTACCCCATTTACCTGGTTTTTGGTAATTTTGAACCTCTGTAACACAACTGTGCTCCTGGAAAGTACCTAGGAAGGGGATAGAGATATAAAGCAATGATTGTAAACTTGGCTCTAGGGGGCCTGTGGACCCCTCACTATTTTCTCTGCTGACAAATTGCATTCTGGTATATTTTTCAGGAGTTGGAGTTAATAGCCATAATCAGATTATTAAAGGGATCTGGGATCCATCAAAAAAGTTAAGTTGAGCTGGATGTGGTGGTGCATATCTGTAATCCCAGCACTTGGGAGGCTGATGCAGTAGGATTGTGAGTTCATGGCCAGTCTGGGCTGCATAGCAAGACCTTGTCTCAAAAAAAAAAAAAAAAAAAAAAAAAAAAAAAATTAGCTGGGTGCCTATGACTCACAACTGTAATCCTATCTACTTGGGAGGCTGAAATGAGGAGGATTGAAATTTGAGGCCAGTCCAGGCAAGTAGTTTGAGAGCCCTCCATTTCCAAAATAATCAGACCAAAATGTATTAAAGGGGCAGCGCCTGCTTTGTGTAAGTTCCAAACCCCGAGTTCAAACCCCAGTCCCACCAAAAACAAAAACCAAATAAACAGGTATAATTGAATCACTGGACTAAGTGTTCTTATCACAAAGCCCCTGCACTTTCACACGGTGTCACTGATTCTGAGTTGGTCATTTTGGGTAATTATCCCTGTAGTGCCACCCCGCTCCCAGGGAGGTTGTGCAGCATGTGCCTGAACGTCTAGGGGATGGTTTGTACTGATTCATAGTTGATTCATACTCTATTCCTGAACAGCTCTGCCTTTTAGAAATGTCTTCCTTATGATGAGTTGAATTCTGAACTCTGTGTTATTTACTCACTAGTCCTAGTTTTGTCCTAGGGCCAAAAGAACAAATCAGCATGAAAAGATACAGAAACTGATGATAAAATTTGAACCCATGTTTCTCTTGAGGCTTTTTATTTTCAGGTTAAAGGCTGTGTTATCTTCAACAGGTTTTTAGGGTGGAATCTGGCTTCCCTGTTTTTCAACATACTGAGTACCACCTTGTCATTGTTCTTAGCAAGAAGCTGTGGCTCTTTGCTGTTTGATCTGCTTTGCACAGTGTTCCTGGGAATATCATTCCCCTGTAACCACTCCAACTCTGGTTAATGTGGGGGATCCCACTCTACTTCTGTGGGTGATTGAGTTGAGTGGGTGTTGGACCTGAGCTGGAAGTCAGTCCCTGATGGTCTGATACATAGAACCTCCTCCACCTCCGTACACAACAAATCTGGGACTTTCGGCCTCCTTTATGGGGTCTTTATTTCTCTCTGTGGCACTTATGGCCACTCATGCACCAAGTTACATTCTACTGAGAAGCATAAGAGAAGCTAGTAAACACTGATTGTGGTGGCACAGTACCACATACTTGGGAAACTGAGGAAGGAGGGTGGAAAGTTTGAAGCTGGCCTAGGCTACAAAGTGCAGCCCTGCCTCAAAAAAAAAAAAAAACACTCAAAAGAAGCCAGTAAGCTCCATGAGAGTAGGGCCTGTATCTCTGCCGTTCACTGCTGGGTTTCCAGCAATAAAGCAATGCTACTGCAGAGGAGGCACCAAGTCCCTCTTCACTTCTGGGTGCCTGAATGAGGAGCAAAGGAGCTGTGGGCTTGAGCTTTGTGCTGTCAGCGGCCTTGTTTCCTGCTCATGTGGAGAAATCACTCCAGGGACTTTGGAAAGGAACTTGTCAGGAGGTGCAGAGATGAGAGAAGAAAAAAAGCCATGGCAGCCCTTGAATCACCAAGTCCTGATGACTTCGAGCCTTGTTGCCATTCTACAGTATCAAGGATATGTCCTTGGCCTCAGCCAGGGCCTGTTGGGTTTCTTTGACTTCTGTTGAGAATTTGACACAACCCAGTTCTGGGTGCCAGTGGGAGCCCTGTTGGACTGCTGTCTGCTTTGTTCTTGACTCTGCACTAAACCTCTCAGGGAAGATTTTTGTGTTCTAATAGGTACTTTCCTAGCATTTAAAAAAACTTTAATAAGCTCTCCAAAAGTTTTATATACTTTTAGTAGTTTGATATAAAAGCATTGTTTCTTTAGTGTATCTTTGTCATTGGAGATTTATAACCTTTACACCTTTCTCTGTTCACCGCATCAGATAATCTGAAAATCCACTTCTGCTACAGGTACAGAGGGGCCAGGTGTCAGCATCTCTGAAGAGAGACAAAGTGTCACTGAAAACTTTGGGACAACTGTCGTTTACAATCCTTATGCTGCTCTATCCATAGAACAACAGAGGCAGAAGCTGCCTGTGTTCAAGGTATGGTGAGTTGGTGGCCCGAGTTATATGTCTACCATGGCTGTACACTTAGCATTGAAAGGACAGAGGCTTCTCACTCTGGATGCCTTTGTTGGACACAGCTCGAGGAGCCCTCGTTGCAAGGGAACAGTTTTCAAAATGTGTGTGTGTTCCATGTAAATCTAGAAAGTCCTGTTAGATCTTACGTATTAGAAAACAGGAAGATTTGGAATGGTATTTTTTTCTCCCTTCATTGCTTTCATTTATGGACAATTTCAGACATGCAGAAAGTTGATAAAATAGCACAATGAATTTCTTCATATCTAGCTGCATATACATGTGGCTAATTTTTGCTTTCTTTTTAAAGACTTTGTTTTTGGTACTGGACTTTAAGCTCAGGGCTTTGTGCTCACTAGACAGGCACTCCACTGCTTGAGCCGTGCCTCCAGCCCAAGACATATTTCTTTAACCAAAATTGGAAATTCGAGGCTGTTTCCTGCTGAGATAGTGACGAGATTTTGGTATAGTTAGCAGATACCATGTGCATATCTGGACACTTGACTTTCTAGGTGCAAATGAAATGGGTGCATGCTTAGCTCATGAGACCAAAGTGCAAGCCAGAATACATTCATTTATGGTGAACCATAATTCTTGTGTACCTGTGGACACAGTTGATGGACGAGTTTTCTCCCTGTTGGCCAGTGTATATGGAACGCCACATTGTATCAGGAAGAAGGCTCAGAGCCAAAGATGGGTTAGGTGCACTTGGAGAATATTTATTTCCTCAGCCTCTGGAAAAGGCTGATAAATTCTGCCTGCCTCACAGGATGCCTCTAGAATGAGCTCAGTAGGTATGGTCAGCAGCACCCATATCTCTCCTCCTGGACAGAGCTGGGTGAAAGATGCCATGCTCTTAGACTTAGAGAGTCCCTTTGTCTAGACTGTGCTGCCAATTCCTCTTCTAATAGACATGGATATGAAGTGGCAGTCTTCTTAATTTATCCACATTGCCTAGATTGGAGTATGTGGTCCCAAACATTGTAGTCACTTAGGACCTGACAGTGAGAGTGTTTCCTCCTCAGGTGACTAATGTCCTCCATTATATGTGAACATTAATGAGTGTGACCCTTAAGAGATGAGATTATAGGCTAACTCTTGCTTCCTCACCACTGAAGGACACTGTTTTTGATAAAGTCTCTAGGCTCAAGCTGGATTTCAGGGTTTTAACCCTACCTTCACCATTTGCGTGCTCTGTGACCTTGCTTCACATCCTGAGCTGTTTCATCTATGATATGGGACTAATAGCACCTACATTCTAGTGTTGTTCAGAGGACCAGAGGAGAGACTCCCTGGAGAGTGTCAGTAACATATTTGACACGTAGTAAATGCTCAGGCACAAGGAGGAGACACACACACACACACATACACACACACAGAGTGCTAGTGTGTGAACTCAGGGCTTTGCAAAACAGGAGCTCTACTGCTTGAGCCACACCTCCAGTCCATTTTGCTCTGGTTATTTTAGAGATGGGGGTCCCACAAACCATTTGCTCTGGCTGGCCTCGAACCTCGAACCTCCCAATTTCAGCCTCACAGTAGTGTTTATTGAATAAATTTTAGCCTTTTCTTCACTGTTCTTTATTTTCTGTCATATAAGATAAAGTAAAACAACAAATGAAGAAAATAAAGCAGGAGATGAGATGTATTGATAGAATCGAAATGAAAAAAATAGGTGTAAGTTACTGATATAAAGCAAAGCAGAGCCTAAGCACTGTTGAGTTCTCCTAAGGTGTTGAAGGTAAGTCTAGGAGACAGAGTAAAAGTTATCCCTTCACCACCCCTGCACCATTCAGACTAAAAGTAGCTTTACAGATACAACTGGTGGTGGAGCACTAGCATGTGCAAGGCCTTGGGTTTGATCCTGGCCCTGCACACATAACAACAAATCAGAAGTTGGAACTAAAACAGCAACCTGTCTTTAAAGATCTGGTGTGGTTACAAAGCAGCCTTCCCCTTGGCTGTAGCCAAGCATTCTGTAGCTGCCATGCTCTTGGGGCCCTGGACACTGCTCTGCAAAGGTGTCCACCTGTGCCCACCTACTCCCCTCTCCGAAGCTCGGTCCCATCCTCCTCACCAGCTCTCCCTGATTTCACTGAGCCCAGCGGTGGTGGTGTTACTCTTCGTCTCCAAGCCAGAAATCTTGTTGTGTCTCTCAAATGTTACACATCTGCCTCTCTTCATTTGCAATGATTCCAACACTTGTTAGACCTGTAGCACATGAAGTTGGATTATTGACTGCAGTTTCTTCATGTCTAATCAGTCTTGTATGCTGCTGCCCCATTTTCTCAAAATGCTTGCAGCCTATACTGCCTTCTATGTAAAGTCTATATTCTTTTTGTTTGTTATTTTATTTAGTTTTCATTTGAGACAGGGTTTTGCTCTGTACTCCAGGCTGGCCTTGAGCTCTCCATCCTTCTGCCTCAGTCTCTCAAGTGCTGGATTACAGGTGTGTGCCATGACATCCAGTCTTAAAGTCCAGACTCTTTAGCTCTGAATTCAAGGCCTCTTATAATAAAGCCCTAAACACACCTCTCCTAACTCATTTGCAATTCAAACCTGAGCTTGTTATGGGCTTTTTATAGCCCCCTCCAGTAGAGTTTGCATGGTTTGTTTATTTCCATCCTCTTCCTTTTGCTTTTTTCACTTGTGTTTCCTAGAATGCCTATTTCTCTATTTATCTGTATTTAAATGTTTTTCAAATTTTCCTTGACCACCCACCCACCCAGCCATTCTATCTATCCATCTGTTCACCCAGTGAATTTGCCTTTTACAAATAACTGCAAAGGAACCCAAAGCTTTCCTCCTCCTTTACCCAAAGTGAAAGGAAACACAAAGTCCAAGCAACCAAGAGGACAGTATCTAGACTCCAGTCATCCGACCACCTGTAGTAAAGTCTCCTTTGAGTGCATATATAAATACAGACTCCTGGACCTCACCTGGCCCTACTGATAAGAAGCCCTGATGATAGGGCTACCAGTCTTCATTTCTGACAAATATCCCAGATGATATTCACACTAAGGCTGAGGACTGCATAAGTAGACCCCAGGTAATGCCAAATCAAAAACCTGAAATAACCAGTACTTTGTTTGCTAGCTAGAAACTGGCAGCATCCCTCTTCTCAGCCTACATTTTGTTGGTGTGGCAACGCATGAGCTGGCGATCAGAGAGGGAGTGGGAGGCACTGTTTTCCTTCATCCCAAACCAGATATTTATGGAATACCTTCATTACCTTGCAGACCATCAGGTGTGTCTGTAATCAATGATGTTTACAGATACACCTTCTGAAGCTAAGTATCTGTGACTTTTCACTAACTAAATCAGTGTTTTTGCTCACGCTGGAAGGGTAAATGAGGCTCTGTTGAAGAATGTGTGTAACTTGCGGATGCTTTATTGAGAATTTTCATTTATAGGTAGAGCTGAAAGTGTGTTCTTTTAATTATATTTCATTAATAAATGAAAAACTTTAAAGTTAGGTAATACATGCATGTTGTACAAAATTCAAATTTCTCCCTCATATCCCTGTTCTCCACCCTTTCACTCTCCCTGAAGGCAGCACTATTTATAGTTTTTTGTTTTATTTTTTCCCCAGAGATAGTCTACCTGTAAATAAGTATATATGTATTTATCCTTTCTTTAAGAATAAAAATACTAGTGCATCATTTACATTGCTTCATAACTGGTTTTCTTAACATACCTTGTAGCTTATTCTATGTTAGTATAAGTAGACAGTTGGGGTTTTTTTGACAACTGTGAATTACTCCATTATTGGAGTATTTCATAACTGATTTAACCAAACACCTGTTGGTGAACATTTAGGCTGTTTGGACAATTCTGCAGTGAGTGTGCTTTTATAGACATCTGTGCATAAAGTTTGTGTTAGTTTGTAATTTATAAGGGGGAAATCCTTGAATCAAGAGTTGGTAAATTTTGGTAACTATTTCACCTGCAGCTGTGTAGCTCATACTGATACCAGTGGTGCCTGAGAGTTTGAAATACATTTTGATGGTATTTCTTAAATTTCTTAAAACTTACTTTCCTTTGGAGCCACCTCATTTCACAGAGGTTTTTGTTTAGGTCTCTTGAGACAAAATATGGCTATTTACAATGTGTAATTATTCTTTTCCAGCTTAGGAATCATATTTTATACTTGATAGAAAACTATCAGACCGTGGTGATTGTTGGAGAAACAGGATGTGGGAAAAGCACGCAGATTCCTCAGGTGAGTGTATGTTTAACATGTGTCCTTACACTTAGATTTAGTTGGAAGGTCTTTGTAAGTTGAGAACTCTCTTTACTATCTTTTGCGTTTTAAAGGCCTTCTCTCAGGAAATAAATACATACATATATGCATATACGTGTGTGTGTGTGTGTGTGTGTGTGTGTGTGTGTGAGAGAGAGAGAGAGAGAGAGATATACTGAGGGCTTTGTGCTTACAAAGCAGGCACTCTACAGCTTGAGACATATCTCCTGTTCATTTTGCTCTGGTTATTTTGGTGATGTAGTCTCATGAAGTATTTGCCCAGGCTTGCCTTGAGCTGAGATCCTCCTGATCTTAGCTTCTCAAGTAGCGGGGATTACAGGTGTGAGCCACGGGTGCCCAGCTCACTCATATATTTTTTAATAGCTATATGTAATTTATTATAATTCCAAAATGTAATGGACTCACCATTATCTGAAAGGAACAATGGGACTCATTCAAAGACATATAATACATAGGTGTGTTTTCCTCTAGTGATTACAGTTGAAAAGGTGAGGTAAAATAAATGTCATTGTAGTTGTAAGTAAAAATCAGTTACAGAATTATGGATTGCTATGGAAGAAACATATCTTGCCAGAAAAAATCATATCTGGTGTGAATAGGAGTGGAAAGAAGGATCAGTAGGCCATGTAAAAGAAATGACATTTGAAATAGACCTTGAGCAATTAATGGGAGCCAAGTGGAAAGATGTTCCGTTCCAGTGAATACTGAAGTCAGAGGTACTGGGGTGCGGAAGAGGTAGGTGAGGTCAGAGTGTCTTAGACCTTTGACTTGACTGGTGAAGGATGGCAATTAGGGACAAGGGTTGAGAGACTTCGCAGGTTTTTCTTTCCTTTTAAAAAAGTAAATTTGTATTAAAGCATAAAATTCATACAGGAAAGTACGTGTGTCATAATTGTACAGCTTGATTCATTTTCGAGGAAAGACAGCTATGTTACCAGCACCCAGATCATGACAGCAAACATTAGTACCCCAGAAGCCCTCTCATGTCCCCATCTAGTTGCTGCCTGCTCTCTCTCTCCACCCCTACAAATGTACACACAAAGGGTAACTTACTCTGGCTTCTAGTTTTGTACTTCATGAAGGGAGAGCTTCTTCTGTAAACATTATGTGTGTAAGATTGCTCCCTGTCACTGAATGTAGCTGCAGTTTCTTCGTTTTCATTGCTGAATAGTAAACCATAGCCCATGGGCCATATTCAATCCACTGCCTGTTATCTTGTTTGTTTTTGATATAGGGTCTTTCTGTGCAGCCCAGGTTGGTCTGGAACTGTCCTCCTTTTCTCAGCCTCCCAAGTGCTGGGATTATAGGCATGCACCACTACACTTGGCCTGCTGCCTGTTTTGTCATAAAGCTTTATTGACATATAGTCACACTTACTGGTTCAGGCATTGCCCATGGCTTCTGTCATGCTGCAATGTAGAGTTGAGGAATTATTACAGAGACCCTAAGATCTTCAAATCCTAGAAATCTATAATGTAGCCCTTTATAGAAAAAGTTTGTGGACCTCTTGTATAGTGCTCCCTGTCTAAGTGTTGTTTGGTTTATTTGTTCTGTTGATTAACATTCAAGTTGTCTCCAGTCTTGTTGTTATGAATATGCTGTGATGAACGTTCCTGGCTTGCTCTTGTTAAACATGTGTGTTTTTATTGGGTTATACCTAAGAGTAGCCTTACGCTCATGTTCAGTTTTAATAAATAATGCCTGTTGGAGTTTCAAAGTGGTATGTCCTTAAAGTGTTTGTGAATAAGTATTCAACATGATAAGCTAATTTTTTTTTTTTCAGTTTTTTGAGACAAGGTCTTATTATGTAGCTCAGGCTGGGTACAGGTGTTCACCACCATGCCCAATCTGGAGAGCTGTTTTAAATTGAAATGAAGGATGACTTGAGGCTAGAGATGACAGACCATGAGGGCCTGTGCACTGGGAAAGGTGATAATGGAGTCCTTGACTGACAGTGATAGTGGTATACTCAGGGGAGGATAGGAATGAGGGATTTTGGAGTTAGGGTCTGTAGCGGTCAGAAACTGGATGGATATTTGTGTTGACAAAGGGGATGGAGGTGTTAGTCAGAAGTAGATTCTGACTAACCAAGCTTTGCTGCCTTGGAGTGCTGTGGTGATAAATTCGATAGAAAATAAAGAGGGGATTGGCTGTGGGAAAAACTGACCTGTTTGACTTTAAACAGATGTATTATTTCTTATGTCACTGTTGGTCTTTGATGACATTGTTAACAGGAAAATTGGATTGGGAGCAGAAGCCTGGCAGAGCGCAGACTTAGAGGGTATGGACATACGGCTCATTCACATACTGACACTATGAATCCTAATATGTGCAGGAGTCACGGACCAGAGAGAGTTGAGAAAAGACCCATGGTCAAAGCCCTGGAGTATTAGCTTTTAGGTATCAGGAGCAGAAAGGAGATAGAATGGCATAAGAAGATGACGAGGACCCAGGAGAGGGCCCATGGTCAGAGAAAGCCAAGGAGGAGCGAGGGTTCACGAGGGAGTTGTGTGGGAAGCACTTTCAGCTGAGAAAGTGGCTGGGGAGCAGAGGGCCTGATTCAGTCCTGTGTTGTTCGTTGGGGAGAGCCAGTCCAGTGGGGTGAGAGGAGAGGGGCAGCTGACAGTGAGTCAGGCAGTGGCAAGAGGTGAGGAAACAGAAGTGATAGCTCTGTGGAAGGAGAGTCTCAGAGAAGCAGATGAAAACCCCTTGCAGTTTTGAGCCTGTTGGTGATGTGCTGCTGACCAGACTTGTGGACTTGCTTCTTAATATCTTCGTCTGCTCTCCAACCCCCATTCTGAAAATGGATTTAGGAATGGCCCAGAATAGGTGTTTTCTAAGTGTTCCCCAGCCCATCTAGGATACAGCTGAGGAAAGGAGGCAGGCAGATGACTTAGTAAAGAAGGACAATTTGAAATACAGACAGAGAAGGAAAGGTGCCTGAAGGCAAAATGGTACACAAGAGCCCCTAAAGTTGTTTGTTTCTTAGAGAGAAACGGGAAGGGCTAGGTAAAATCTGCCAAGATTATTAGCAATCATATTAAGTAATTGATATAACATAATGGTGGAGCTATATGAAGTAAGCACTTTATAAATTTTCTGCTGCTTAATCCTCAGTGACTTATGAAGTAGGAGCTATTCCTTCCTTTTATGGAGAAGACACTGGAGTAGAGAGGTGGGGATATAGAGAGGTAGGAGGCCACATATGATCCAGTAACTGTAGTGTGTTCTGGGATTAGTCTGCATGGGTATTTAAACTATCTTTTAAGGTTAGATAAACTTTTTGGGGGGGCGGGTATGGTACTGGAGATTGATCTTAGGGCCTCATGCTTGCTAGGCAAGCACTCTGCCACTTAAGCTATGCGAGATAGGGTCTTGAAAACTACTTGCCCAGGTCTGGTTCTAACCATGTTCCTCCTGATCTCTGCCTCCAGAGTAGCTAGGATTACAGGTGTGAGCCACCAGTGCCCAATCCTCTAGCCCATTTTGCTTTAGATTATTTTTCACATAGGGTCTCATGCTTTTTGCCAAGGCTGGCCTTGGATTTTGATCCTTCCTGCCTCTGCCTCCTGCATAGCTAGGATTACTGGTGTGAACCACCATACCTGACTTGGTTTTTGAGATGAGGGTCTTGCTAACTTTTTTGTTTCGACCAGACTGGCCTTGAATTGCAATCCTCCATGTTCTACCTCCCAAATAGCTGGGATTACAGATGTGAGCCATGGTGCCTGGCCCAGGATAAAGTGTCCTAGGGTAACAAAAAACCTGAAAATCTTAGTGGCTTAAAAACACAAAGGTTTATTTCTTGCTCAGACTGCGTGGTCATCCTGGCTTTGATCTGCTGTTTGTCATCACTGGGACATGGACTGATGGCACAGCTCTTCTGTGGGACCTGTTGATTTGTAATACAGGGCACAGTTGTGAGTTGGCTCTTTAAAAGTCTGACCAGTTACTTGATTGGCCAGGGTGGCAATGTGTGTATAGCAGATTTTTGGAAGAATACAGTATGTCAGAGTGTTGTGGTCATTTCCTCCAGTAAGGCTTAGCTTCCAGGGAACAGAGAGGGCCTGCTGAGGGGCTGAGCCCAGGGAAAGTCTGAAAGGATACAGAGGTTGGGCAGTGTGACAGCAAAATTATAAGATTCGCTTTAATATGTCTGATTTTTTTGAATATTGCACAGGCTTATGTGGTTTGAAATGCAGGCAAATCTGACAGGACACGAGAAGAGGGAGAGTTCCCAGTTCCTGTCTACTGATATGCAGCCGATATTGTCAATTTCTTGGGTGGGGATTTTTATGCATTTACAGAGAAATGAATATATTCTATACCCTCTTTTTAAAACAATGTTTTGATGCACCTTGTCTTTTTTTCCCCACTTAATGTATCGTTTTTTTCCTCCCTAGTTCCATAGGTTCTAGTGTGTGCACAGAATTTATTTTACCAGTCTCCAGTCGATGGACATTTAGGTTGTCTCTGGTTTTTTATTATCACAATAATGTGGTGAGTCAGCTTGGCACATGTATCATTTTGCACATACATAGGTATATTTTTAGAATAAATGCAATAGTTACAGAGTTGCTAGCTCCAAGTTCATGTGTATTAGAATTTAATTATTTTAAGGAATTGTGTTTTATCATAAGCACTTTTTTATTTAAGATAGGAAATACATTTACATGGTACTAAATTTAAAAAGTATAAAGGTATTATGGTAAAAAATGAATCTCTTAAGTTTTGCTGGTAAAAATGACTAAAACTATGTTATTGGCCCACCAATATCGGCTATCCTTCCTGTGGACGGTTCTTCCCTTTTCTCTTAACCATTCAGTTCTCCTACTCTGAGACAGCCATTGTTTCCAGCTTATTTGGCCTAGGAAGATTGGAAAAGCTGAGGAACTAAAGAAAAATGGAGCAGATTTTTCTAAATAAACTATTTGGCCAGATTATATAGTACCTTTCCCGAAGCACCAGACACCAGTTTTGAAATTCCACAAATTATATCTGGAAACTGGATGGTGTTTTTTGCTAGTTCTTTCAAAACAATGGACTGTTAAAACAAGCTGTTCTTTTTTTTTTTTTTTTTTTAAATCATTTTTAGGAGCTGTTCTTAACAGTTTTTATCAGTACTGTTATTGGTGTAGTACTTCCTAATTCTATTTTACCTAGCAGGTGACAGACATTTGGTAGTCCTTTAGCAGTGTAGAGAAAGGAGATGGAATTCAGCCGTAGGTTCTGCGGTCTCCCTGCATGACACACATGCTTCCCCATGTCAGCACTACATTGGCTTTTGCAGTGTCTGTCAGTTTACTCCTTGCAGCAGCAGTAAGCGTGCAGTGGAAGTCTGAGTCACACTGTGGGTTGAGTGACCAGCTTCATGGATAGGTGCTTTATGTTTGTGGAAAGTTACGGTTCTTTCACTTACTATTCCTGAGAGATTTCCTGCATGGGTGTTGCTTGAATTTGGATGTTAGGATTGTGTCCCAGTTATATGTCAGGGTTTTGGTTTGCCAGGCTTGCATTCCATCTCTAAGATGTTTATCCGCTTCTTCGGACAGGGTGTGTGACCTCTTTGATCCCTGTCTGTACGTTGTTGGTGCTGCTATCTTCCTTGTAGGATTTGTTGTGAGGATTAGTCACATGGGGAGTGCATTTAAGGCACTCAGATCAGTTCTTGGCGCTTAGGAAGGGACTCGGTGAACCTTAGCTCTTATTCATCTCCTGTTTTTGTATTTGTGTTTATTGGGGTGGTTGATAGCACTTTGTGTATGTAATTAACACACAGAGAGAAACTTTGTAGCAAAAAACTAATATTGTGCACTACATTTTATTCCTTATAGCCATTTTAAATTTTATTTTTAGCTAACTTTAACTGAGAAAAGCTTTAAGAAGTGATATGGAACCCTCTTTTGCTTTTCATATCTCTTCTAGAACAGTAATCAAAAGCAGGACAATTAACACTGGCACAACACTAGTAACTAGATCCCACATCTGACTTAAATCTCACTTCTCCACTGATGTTCTTTTTCAGTTTCAGAATTCTGCATTGCATTTAGTTGTTACTTTTGTCTCCTCCAGTCTGAGGGAAGGCCTCACGTCCCTCATCTTTCCTGACCTTGATACTTTTAAAGAATATTAAGCATTTATTTTTTTAGAATATCTCCCATTTTGGATTTCTGTCCTGTGTTCTCACAATTACAAAAACTTCTGTATTTTTGGCAGGAAGACCACAGAAATGATGCCGCCCCTCTTCGTGTATCATATTGGTGGTGCTGGGGATCTGGTCACCAGAGATACTAACCTTGGTCACTTGGTTAAGGTGCCACACTTCACTTGTAAAGCTATTGCCTTTCTATTTGTTGTTGACAAAATCTTAGGGGAGATGATTTCACATCTTCTCTGCAGCAGTGATGATTTTCTTTTTTCCTTTTTCTCCTACCTCTATTAAATAGAATTTTCTATAAGAAACAACTACCTCTAAAATTGCCAGGACTGCAGGAGTGGCTCAAGTGATAGAATACCTTCCTAGCAAGCATGAGGACCTGAGTTCAAACTCCAGCACTGCCACAAAACAAACCAACGAACCTTTTTCTCACCACTCACTTCTTTGATTATTTATGTGCATTAATTTGGATTCAAAGATAGTTACCTTTGTATGGTTTAAATACCTGTATCTATCCATCTATATGTGCATATCTATCTATCTATCTATCTATATATCTATCTATCTCAAATACTGGGAGTTATGCTAATACTTCTGATTCCAATCCAATATTTTAAGTCTTCTTTTAGCCTTCCCTTATTTTTAACTTTTCTCCAACAGTGGGAAACTCCCTTCTTATTAGCTACAGTGTATTCATGTATTTGTTAAATTCTAGTATGCACATAAAATAGTTTCAGAATTGCTAACCCATACCCCTGTTTGGGTGTTTACCAGCATTTACTAACTAGATTATAGCATTTATGTCTTTTTGTCATTAGTTTTTTAACATCAACTGAAGATACCATTTCCATGGTTACTTAGGCTAGGTCTTTTCATTTCCACCCCTTCAGTGTGGTTGTTGTCATTTGTAATGCAAAGTGTCATTTATTGATGTTTTTATTTCCTTCCACACCCTGGTTGGTTTTGTCTTTTGTGTATTTGAAGAGTTTGTGCAACGTGATTTGTCCTCACAGTCAGAGCTACTCACAGTGATGCATTCAAAACACAGCTGCTCCCTCCTCATCCCTGTTACCCTGTTTCCATTTTCCTTTCTTTCTGCCCTTTTCTCACAGACCCTGTAGACATCCTTTCTCTTTAGTTTCTATATTATCCTTCCTTTATTTCTTTTGAACCAATGAGCACATACATGCAATAGTAATTTTAATCTTTTTTACTATAGAAGTAATATATACTGACTGTAAAAACAAGCATTATAAAACTATTCATATTTGATAGTGATTGCTTATAATCAAATAAATACACAAATAAGATAAATATATTCAAATTATATATATATATTGTAATGTAATCTACTTACTTATTTTCCTGGGTAGTTGCAAATAATTGTTTTTATTTAATTTGACTGAGATGTGTTACATAGTTGTTATTTGTATTGAGCTCTCTGTAACTTTAAAATTCTTTGTCCTGTAGCTTGAGCACCATTCAGATTGACCCATGGGTAGTTTTTTTCCTGAGGCACTTGTAGTAGTACATGAAGATTTTGAAGGACCTAGGAGTGAGGGGGGTGGTCCAAATGCTGAATTTGTGTCTTGGTTTTTCTATAAACTTTGATGTTAATTAATTAACATCACTAACCTTCAGATCTGTCCTCCAAAGTTCTGCTGAAAGAGGAACTGTGTTACTTCATTTATGAGTGATTTTAGTACAGATTAGGGCCATCATGGGGGAGGCTGGACTGTAAGAGTGGTCTCAGGTGTGTACTCCTTTATGGCTCTGCTTGCAGTACCTGGCAGAAGCTGGCTGGACAGCTGAAGGAAGAGTGGTCGGAGTGACCCAGCCTCGAAGAGTGGCTGCTGTGACGGTGAGTTTCTCTTGGAGTGCAGAGATTCTGTGACTTCTGTTTTCCTGGCTTTTTTTCCCTTATTTCCTAAAAATTGCAATTAGAGAGCAGTTGCTCCTTAAGAATTTAGTTTAAAAAGAATAATGATTTGAATTTCTGTAAAGTTGATTCCTATCTATTTTAAATGTTTTAAGTAGTAAAGTACTGAGGAAGTAAAAACAAAACTAATTTTTAAAACCTTCAAATCTCTCAGCAATGCAAAAGCATTGTGAACATTTGTGAGCAATCATTCCAAATTTCTCTTCAAGATAAAGATGAGTGGTTGGCTTGTTGGACAGAAATAATTTTATAAAAATGGGATCATGACCATGTATTTACTTTGATTGAGTTTAACAAAAGAGGAAATGGAAATGAAATAAAAGCTACTGAACTTTGGTTTAATATTTGTTCACCATAAGAGAATTTATTAAGGCTTGAAAAGAAAAAATAATAACAAAACTTCATAATATTACTTACTTAGTTTCCTGTTATGAAAGAAGAAGAATCAACACACATATTCATCTGTCCGCTTTCCCCCCTCCGTTCGATTTTTTAAAAATCTATACCTTTATATCTGTTTTTATACTTTTGTGCTTTCTATTTTCTTCTGGGGATTTGAGCTCAGGGCATTGCATTCACTAGTAAGGCACTCTACCACTTGAGACACACCTCTAGCCCTTCTCATTTGTTATGACATAGTACTATCATTTTCTTTTCTTTTTTTTTGGTTTGAACTCAGGGCCTTGTACTTGCTAGACAGCTGCTCTGCCTCTTGAGCCACTGTGCTAGCACTTGAAGTTTCTATTTAAGCTGCCTTCTGCCCATGTTCTGTTTGCCCTTTACTCCCTTTGTGGTCAGCTTTTGTGTACTGGCTTGTCCTGTTAGTACTTATGAGGTGAGCACTCATCTCTGGCCTCTGCAGACTTGTGAGGTGGTGCTGGGTGGGGTAGGCACAACCTGTCCCAGCTGCTCTTGTTCTTTGCTGGATGGGGGAGGAGAATGCAGATCTGCCATGCGCCCCTTGCTGAGAAAAGATCTTTGTGGCTCAGGATGAAATTCTTAAGGCTCTCTGATTTGAAATTTGGTACTTGTGTCCTGCCTATCTGCCTTCTCCTAACCATCTCTCCTGTAATTCTTTACTGTCAGGGTGGGCCAACACTATGACATTTCCTGATTGGGGGGCCTGAATACTGCCACTTCTGGTCTTTCTAAGATTTGGCAGTTGTGCTTCCTGGTTTACTCTTTGGATTTGTGGCTGTTTACTTCTTTCATCAAAAATGCCTTTATTTTATCATTTTTACCTGGACAAGTTATTTTTACTCTGCACAGTGTTTTAATTATTATGTAATCCTTTTCCCCAAGGTCCATTTTCTAATGGTCTTCCAGTTAGGAATTACTGATAAACATTTTTCAAGGGTTGTGTGCACATGTTACTAAAATGAGATAACAATTGGAAAGTGCACTGCAGTGATAGAGTTAACCTTTTATGTCATTGAAAGATGACTCAGCTAAAAACTAGAGCATTTTTCCCTGTGTATGGCTTGTAATACCAGGTGTTAATCGGTTTTCATTTTCGCTTCAAATTTGTAACCATGGATAACTTCCATGCAACCAACAGGCTTTCTCTTGAAAGAACAAAGAGTGTATAAATTAACCATGTACCGTTAACAGAGCTGTCACCTTTGAAATGCCACATCTCAGAAAGTACTTTATGTGTAGAATAAAATCTAAAAACAATCTCAGAGCCTGAAAACAGATTGCATAAGCAGTTCTTGATCACTGTGAGAGGCAGTTAGTAATGAGTGCACTCCTTGGCTTTATCAGACCAGCCATCCTCCAAGTGAGATTCAGAACAAGCCCAGAACCTGCTTTCTTTCATTGTCCTTACTTGTGGATACAAGGGTATTTTGCCTACCTCCTGGGCTGTGGGAAAGCGCAGAGTCCAGCACTTGCCATGTCCTACCTAGGTGCTCAGTGGTTTTTCTTTCTCTTTTTATTTTGTGGGGTACTGGAGATTGAACTCAGGGCTGCAGGCTGGCTAGGCAAGTGCTCTACACTTGAGGACCTCCAGTCCTTTTGCTTTTAGTTTGTTTTGTAGATAGGATCTTGCGTTTTTGTCCAGGCTGGTCTCAAACTTTGTTCTCTGCCTTCTGAATAACTAGGATTACATGTCTGTACCATTACACCCAGACTAACTTTGCCTGGGCTGGCCTTGTACCACAATCCTTCTATCTCTGCCTCCCAAATAGCTGGGCCTACAGACCAGCTGTTTACCTCCTTTCCCTCTGTATGTATTTGGTCTATTAAAAAGATAATTTGTCCAGTTCAGTTAATGAAGTTATTGGGAGCAGAATGTAAACAATAGATTAAAAATCTATTAAAAAGTCAATAAGTATAACCCTGTATGATTATGAATGATGCAATTAAAAAGATTGAAAATAAAAACTTGTTTGTTTATTAATTTATTTGCTTATTTATTTAAAGATAGGGCCTTGTTTGTAGCCCAGTTTGGCCTTCAGCTCAAGATCTTCTTGCCTCAGCCTCCTTAGTGTTGGGATTATAGACATGTGCCACCATGCCCCACTAAAAACACACTTTTTGTGCAAATATATACAAATAGTGAAATAAGAATAACCAAGCTTGACTTTTACTTTAAAGACCCATAAAAATGATTATATTTTTATGAAGAGACTTGTTTTCATTTCTTCTTTTTTTTGACAGAATTAGAGGTTGAACTCAGGGCCTTGCCCTTGCTAGGCAGGCATTCTACTGCCTGAGCCACATCTCCAGCCCCATATGTTCTCTCACTCTTACAAGCCTGTTTTCCCTATAGGCTTCCAGAATGCATGCGTCCTCTGTACCATTTTCTAGTGCTTGTAGCATAATGATGTGTAGGATTAACTCCAAACAATAACAATAACAAAACTGTCCTGGTGAAATGCTGGTTATGGAGAAATACAATCTCCAGAGGGAGGATGAATTTTGGTTTCATAAGCTGTTTTGAAACACTGTGTGGTGTAGACCAACTGCGTGGTGATTGATTGATTGAGTTTTGGCCTGCCAGATCTGTAATTTCAAGTCACTAGGCAGAGCCACTTCTGATCCTCATCTGCTCTTCAGTTTCTCAAACAGAGATGGAAGATAACTCCCCTGGTGCTAGTGGAGAGGCTGAGTGCTGGGTGGCTCTGCACTCCTGAGCTGGGGCTGCTGGGCAGAATGCCTGTGTCAGTAAGCTCTGCCTCAGGACACCTGGGGCAGCCATGTTCTAAACCATGGCTCAGCAACTGAGGCCAATAGGAAAAGGGTACCAGGAGCTAGAGAAAAGGTTAGATCAAGAAGAATTAACCTAGAAGGTAACACCCACGCACAGGAAATCAATGCGAGTCAACTCCCTGTATAGCTATCCTTATCTCAACCAGCAAAAACCCTTGTTCCTTCCTATTATTGCTTATACTCTCTCTACAACAAAATTAGATATAAGGGCAAAATAGTTTCTGCTGGGTATTGAGGGGGTTGGGGGAAGAGGGAGGGAGCGGAGTGGGTGGTAAGGGAAGGGATAGGGGCAGGGGGGAGAAATGACCCAAGCATTGTATGCACATATGAATAATAAAACAATAAAAATTTAAAAAATATTAATAAAAAATAAACCACGGCTCAGGACTCCTGGGGGCAGGGGCTGCCTGCCTTTGAAGGAGGTAGATGGATGCCTGCTTCCCCTGGGAGCCTCTAGTCATATTGCTTCCCCTTGACTCCTTGCAGTTAGGTAGTTAGGTGGTGAATATGAAACCTTTTGTTTTCTTTTAAGTTAAGTTATAAACATTGTTCTTTAGTTTTTGTTTATTTTTGAGACAGGGTCTTGCTAAGTTGCTCAGGCTGGTCTTGAACTTGCAGTTCTCCCACCTCAGCCTCCTAAGTAGCTGGGATTACAGGTAGTAGTCACTGTGCTCGTTTTTGTTTATTTATTATTTCATATATTTTCTGTTAACCAGTTAGTAACCTTTGAATGTCCTTTTTGGAGTAGTTTAGGGAGCGTTCCTGTTGGATTTTATTTTTGAGTCTCTCCTTCACCATTTATTTGTTGTGTATTGGTGGTGAAATTCCATCTATAGCTATATCATCTTCATAACAGTTATTTTGTTTTCTACTTTTACTTATTATGTTCACTTGGGTCCTTCTGTCTTATCTACTACTCATCTGCCCTTTTTAAAAACTTGAGTTCTTTTCTTCATTTCCACTTTCAGGGGTTTGGCAGCTGGGAGGGACACTGTTGAGAATTGTTTGAGGTATCTGGCTCTTGAAACATTACCCTTTTGCTCCAAAAGAAAATGAACTCGGCCCAGTATTGAGTTTGATCATTCCTGTTCTGCCTTGATCTCCTGTTCTGTCCAGTGGTAAGGGCTTTATTTTAAAGCATGGAGGCATGAAGAGTTGTCCCTTGGTAGTATGTTCTTTCTTTAGGAGCACGGTGAGGGTAATCTTGTCATTTCTTTTGCTTCCTTTTTTGCTTTGGCCCCAATTTTAAAGCTGATTTTTTTCCCACCTGTTCTGGGGATTGAAAATCCAGGGCCTTGTGCATGCTAGGCAAGGTCTCTACTGCCGAGCTACACCTTTGGCTCAGTTTCTTTGATAATTCATCTGTAACATCTTTATGTGATTTTATTTTTACTTTGTATGTTCTTCTAAGTTGCCCCAAGACCATGATACAGTGAAGCGAAATATATATGTTAATAAATCCCAGAAGTTTTCACACTATTCTTTAATGGCCTACCCCTTTCTTCTCATTTTCCACTGTGTTCAAATAATATTTAATAAATGACCTTTAGATCTTCCATAATGTGTGCTCTGTGCAGTAATCGCATGTCTCTGTTTTCAGCATGAGCTTTCTTCCCACAGGTTGCAGGGAGAGTAGCTGAGGAAAGGGGTGCAGTGCTGGGCCACGAGGTGGGCTACTGCATCCGCTTTGATGACTGCACTGATGCGCTGGCGACGAGGATTAAGGTGAAGTGCTCCAGCTGCTTTTCCTGGTGTAAATAAGATTATTTTGGGGGAATTAAGCACGCAGCCCTCACTGCTGTATAAGACACTGAAGCCAGAACAGAAAGTATGTTGTCCTACCCACTGGGGACTTAGTCTGCTGGGAAGTGCAGAGCTCTTTGAAAGAGTACTGAAAGGAAGCCTTTAGTCTACAGAGGAAGTTGAGGCTCTGGGTGGGTGAATACCTCATGTTATATGCCCATTGCTGATAGAACAGGACTCAAAGTGGCTTTTTCTTGTGTGTACTTTATTTTTTTTTCCTCACAGACTCAACGTAACTATTTAAATACAAAAATAAACCTGTTAAAGACTTAAAAACAGGGACGAAGTCATAAAAATTGATGTAGTTATTTTACATCAATTCTTCATCATTTGTAAAATTCTACAAATGATGTTTTCACTAGTTAGAGCTGGCCTATTTTTATAAGATAATTTTTTTAAATGTTCATGTTATTTGACCTAGTTGCTAATATTAATAATTATTATCAATAGTAATCAGTTTTAATCAGCCCAGCAGGGTGTCTACTGTTTACCACTATGCTGGAATCAAAGTCTAATCAGGTAGTGCAGTAAAACAGTGAACGGCATGCTCTGATGAGATGGATTAGAATCACAATTGCTTCTCAATTTGCAACCAAGGCAGATGGAAATAGCCTGATGAGTCAAACAACAATGTAGCGGTTTGCAAAGATATGGGCCTTCTTTTCCAAATTTCTGTAGTATGTTACCTTTGACATGCATTTTGCCAGGTGAGGGTAATATTCATCTAAACCATCAAGTCTATTTAAACTAGTTAATTTTCAGTGGATTATGCAAGCATGTGTTGTTTTTGAGTTTTTCACAAGAAGCTTTCATATTCCATTTGGTCGCAGCTTCAAGATGCTCAGTTTTTGACTGGTGCTTTTTCTGTGGTGGCAAGTTCTCACTTTCACCCCTGTACATTCACATGGCAACTGGAACCAGAACCAAACAAACTATGGTGGAAACATTTTGTGCTCTTAAAAAGAATTGAGATAAGTAAAAACACCAAGATTCAGCACACAAAGGAGGGTTAGCCTTGTTGACATATGGATTTGCTTTGGGTTAAGAGTAACAGCATTCAGTTGTTACTGCATATTTCTAAAAAATTTATAATATTCATTAATTCCAAGTAGTAATAGCTGTTGTCTCTTGAACACTGTGTGCTAAACTCTCTGTGTATACTTTTACTTAGTTCTCATGGTAACCCTGTGAAGTAGATATTTCCTTACCTCATTTTACAGGTTAGGAATCAGGATTAGAGAGGGTTAAGAACTTGTCCAAAGTACTTACAGCAAGTGAGAAGTAGAGCCAGATCTGAACTCCAAGCAGTCTGACTCTGTTGCCCATGTTTTTAACCTTGATTCCATGTAGCTTCCCTAAAGTAATTATAGTGGAAGTTGAGTTAACCTCAAGAGCTGCAGTCGACAGTTACCTTAGATTCACAGCATTACTTTGGGACAGATGCAGGTTTGTCTTCGTTGCCTATTCATCAGCAATCCCAGAGGTGCAGACCAGAGGAAATAGGAGTTCCCTGATAGTCATATGATATCGATACGATACAATGGAATTTTGCCAAAAGCTTTGCAACCCCTGTGTTCAAAGTCTTGATAACAAAAATGTTGGAGAATTTTCTCAGTCTTTTGTGGGAGTCATCTTGTACATGTCCTGGTATAGAGGTTCTTGAACTTTTCAGAGTTGCCCTTAAACTTTAAAAAAAAAAAAAGTAATATGCTAATGTAGATAAATTATTTCTAAAACTTTACATCTTTATTTTTTAGTTTCTTACTGATGGAATGCTGGTCAGAGAAATGATGGTTGATCCATTGTTAACGAAGTATAGGTAAAAAAGTGTTTTCCTATGGTAATGTTCCTAAAGTTTCCAGAGTGCACACATAAATTAAGAAGCATTGAGTTAATAGCTGTGGTTCATGTCTGTGTTCAGCTTCCCCAAAACGTTTCTCTATTTCAGCTTTTGGCTGTTTTGACTCTTGATGTTTTTCTCAGAATTTATGTAGTATGGTCCTTTACAGACAGTCCAAAAGAAGCGCATAAAAATCTCTATTACCATTTAAACAGCCTATTGACTTTACCTTTTTTATTATGCCTCTGTCATACCATAGGATTGATAGTGACTGCAGAGTGACAGCATAGCAGAAAACTCACCGGGCAGGGTTTTGTTGAATGTAATGCAGAGTTTAATAATTACCACTTTCTTCCACCTTTTGTGTCTTTGGCTATCACATGTAGCACTAAGTTTGTCCCCCAGGTTCTGTGGGATTCTGGGAGAGAATGTCCCACTTGACTCCCTGGTACATGGGTGTTACAGCTATGATCACCTGCCTCTTTGGCTGTTTAACAGCCTTAACGTGGTTGAGCCTTGTTCCTATTTTTTTGTGTTCTGTAGGGTTACAGATTATGTGTGCCATTTAAAATCAGGTATTAAATTCTATTGGAATCCAGTGTGGGTGGCATAGCTCTTTAATGATAGCAGTACATCACTGTTCACCAAGTTATGCTAAAGTAACCATGCGTAGTAGGTCAAAGAAGAGTGACATAGGTTTCCTTTGACTCAGTGATTGCATGAGGGCTGAGTACCCATAGGTCTGGTTGGAGATCAGGATGGGATATGTAGGTTGGTTGTTTTGATGCACACTGACAGGCGCCCTCTGATTCCTAGTGTTATCATGCTAGACGAAGCCCATGAGAGGACCTTGTACACTGACATTGCCATTGGCTTACTAAAGAAGGTATGACTCCACTCCTAGTATTTTGTTTTCTATGTTTTTGTCATGTTGCCTGATTAGGAAAGTAATTGTAGCAATTTGGAAAATCCAGCAAAATACAAGGGAAAAAAATAGAATGAAAATCATTCATTATCTCATCTGTTCAGAGAAAATCCCTGGTAGAATGTTAGTATGTTTCTTTTCTGGGTGTGTCTGTGTGTACATTCCTGTGTTTTGGCACAATGGGATTGGATTGTATGTGCTAATTTAAATCCTATAATTTTCCTTGACATCAAGATCATTTCCGTGTGTCATTAAATATTCTTTAAAGATACTATTTTTAATAGCTACACAATCACCTGTCTCTTTAACTCTTCTCCTAATGTTAGGTATTTATATGGCTTTAAGATTTTAACTTTGGCAGTACTGTTGCAGAGAGCACCCCTATAATTGTGTTGCAGTTTTGCTTCTTTTCACTTTTTAACTTTTTGTTATAAGGTATTCAGTTTACCCCAGGATAGTTAGTAGAGTATGATGACCTCTGTGTACCTATTGTCTGGCTTCAGCAATTACAACTCATGGCCAGGCTTGTATTGCTCCACGTACTCCTCCTTACCCCTATTTTCTGATTGTTTTTTTTCTGGACAGATTCTCAGTGACAGGAGTCTAGAAGGAAGTGTTAGACCAGAGTGATTAAGAGCATGGGCTCCAGAACAGATAGACTGCCTGGGTTCAAATTCTGACTCTTCCCTGTTCACCCATACCTAAAATGGGGGTTAAAAAAAGTCTCTGTATATGTGCTGGTATACGTCCCAACATGGTAGTCACTAGCCTTGTGTGCTGTTTAGATTTAAATTAGTTAAAATGGAATAAAATAAAAAATCGAGTTTCTCTGCCACACTGGCTTTGTTTATTTCAAGGGCTCTGTATAGCCCTGTGTGGCTAGAGGCTGCTGTACTGGACAGTGCAAATAAGGAACCTCTAAAAAGAGGTCCCTTGGACAGAGCGGCTGTCTCGTCATTTGTTATGAGGCTTAAATCTGATACCGTAAAACTGTTGGGATCACATCACAAGACCATGAGGTACCCTTGTATTAACAAGAAAAGATGCCCTCTCTGGGAGCATGTCTACGGGTAAGGAGGGAAGGTGGGCTGTAGTTCAGATGTGCCTAACCTCCTTAGTTGGGCATCATTGTAGTGTGCATACGACATGACTACCATTGTATGCTGGCTCTAGATTAATAGCATGTAACTTGGATTATGTGAGCTGCTTTTGTTGTTATTTTCATTATTTTATTCCTTGGCCAATGATTAGACTTTTTTTTTTTTTTTTGTGGTACTGGGGTTTGAACTCGGTCTACACCTTGAGCCACTCCACCAGCCTTTTTTTTTGTGATGGATTTTTTTCAAGACAGGGTCTTGCAAACTGTTTGCCTGAGCTGGCTTCAAACCATGATCCTCCTGATCTCTGCCTCCTGAGTAGCTAGGATTACAGGTGTGAGCCACCAGCACCTGGCTGGATTAGATTTTTTGATATGAGAAATTCACTCACCAGATTGTTACCTTGTCAGGAGTAGTATGACAAGAGGGCCAGCCCATTTGACCAAATCTTTGCCAAAACTGAGATTAGCCATAACATATCCTTACAATGTGGTAGATGAAAAAGAAATCCTCACTGTTGTTATGTTTTGCTAAAATTTATTCAATCCTTTCTTCGATACCTGTTGATCATCTCTTTCTTTGAATAACTGTTAATGTCCATATTATTTGTTATTTCTTTTAAATACTTTTCCATACTTTTGTCTATGTATACATAGATTCAGATTATCCCAAAATCCACATTGTCAGGGGAAAAATGGTTTTGTCTTCAATAATTTCAAACTCAGATCTTAAAGACCCTTTGCTTTTTGTGTACAATTTTTGTTAGCTGGTGTTTTAGAAAATTGTATGTATTTATAAAATTAGAAAGAATAACATAATGATCCCACTTTTACTTATGATCTTAACAGTTACTAATTTGTGCCATTCTTGTTTCATTGGTAAGTTCCCTTTTTCCAAAAAAAAATTTCTGTTTTTCTCCTCACATTGCATTATTTTGAAGTAAATTTCAGATATCACATTATACCATCCATGAATATTGCATTGTTATCATGGCTTTCTAATGCCTTCTTTTTTAGATTCAGAAAAAGCGAGGGGATCTTCGGCTGATTGTGGCTTCAGCCACTCTGGATGCAGAGGTAAGAAATTTCCCTCCTTCTGCCTCTGTAAACACTGCAATTGTCATCTGTAGCAAGCAAGAGCTCATCTTTGGCTGAATGGCCTGCTTGCCTTCTGGAGCCATCTGGTGTCCTACATTCCACATGATCATAGGATGTTCCTTTTTAGCTTGTGGGTGGAAATTAGCCTGTAATTAGCTAAGGGAGTTCATGATTACCTACTTGTCTTGTTTCTCTACATGTTGTCTTTCACCCCACATAGGCAGCTTCTTTTTATTACCTTTTTCAGTGTGAAGCTATATTTCTTGAATTTATTTATGACCATAGTATATATATTTAGACTTGTGCAATTAAAGTTTTCCTTGTACATATAATCATTTCCATGTTAAAATTTTTATTGCTAGGTTTACATTATTTTTCTCTCTTGATAATATTTTGGTTGAAACAGCATTTCAACTCAACACATATTTTTGGCCACTTGTGATTCATATATACTAAGCACCATGCTATCTGCAGGTAATCCATACATTCCCTGACTCCTCCTGATAGGTAGACACAAAAATAGATGTTCACTATTCAGTGTGTTAAAGGTGCCAAGACAGGCAGGGAAGGAACATTTAACTCTAGCTAGCTGGGGGCAGTTGGGAAGTGTTTAGAAACTGTCACACACTCAGGGGTGTGTGAAAGATGTGTAGTAGTTTTCCCATGGGCAAAGGTGGGGAAGGGTTCCTTAAGCACATGTGGAACCACAGTAGTGAGAAACCATTAGTTCAGGGAGCTACAAGTCTCACTTTGCCTGCCAGGCCCTGCAAAAGTGATCTGTCCCCTAGCCACTGCTCTGACTTCACCTCCTTCCACATTGCATTGCTGTCTGCATTGCATTCCAGCCACACTGGGCCCCTTGCAGTTCCTCCAAAAGAGCCAAGCAAACTTCTATTCTAGGGGAACCTGCTTTCTAGACTGGTCTTCCTCCATATGTTCTTGTGACTCTCCCATCATTTCATTCCAGTTCTGATCAAGTCTTACCTCCTTGGCGAGGCCTTCCCCGAACACCGTATCTACAACCACGTCTCTGTCACTCACTGTCCTCTTGTGCAGATTTTTGTGTGTGTTTAGCAGTTGTTACTACCTAACTACATGCATATCCAGGTGTGTGTTTATTGTATGTCTTTTAGCACTACAGTGTAGGCTCCATAAAGATTGGGATTCTGACTGCCTGTCACATGATTTTATCCCTCCTACTAAAACAGTATCTGGCACAGAGTAGTAGGTACCTGGGTTGAATAAATTTTGATCAAATGGGAAGCAATGGGAGGTTGAAATGGAGAGACTGGCAGGGGTCAGATGATGGAAGGCCTCATGGCTAAGTGTGGGAGGATGGACTCCATTGTGCACCTGGCTGGGAGCCATGGAGGATGTGAGTTAGGGCAGTGACTTGATCATATTTGGGTTTTAGGAAGATCATTTTGGGTACTGTGTAGAGGACACAAGAGTAATGGGGATGCTATTCAGAAGACTAGTTCTGTAATCCTGGTGAAATGTGAAAAATTCTGGCTGCTGGCTCCTAGTCTGTCAGTCTCCCTGTGGCTTTAAGAATGCAGAGTAACTTGGAGAGAGTAAAAGCTCTGTAACTCAGAGGGATATCTGTATGTGTCCTTTTCACAGCATGTCGGGGTCTGTTGTCTTGGGGTGCCCATGATAACCCCTGGGTTGTTGCCCTTTTTCATTAGCTCTCAGCTCTGTTGCCATGGTTTCTGCTGAAATGCTCTGCAGAGGACTGGGCTAGACTCACCTCTAGTTCTCTCTTCTATGATTAAGTTGTGCAGGTCATCTCTGTTTTGCCTCTGATCTTCTTCATCTCCTTCTGTCTTTTAGAAATTATTAAATTAAAATTTAAAAATTGTTCTAGGCAGGTATAGGCGTGATGAAAACTATAATGTCCAAGTCTTAGAATCATTGCTAATCAGTAATTATTAATTGCCCAGAACTGACTTTCATTGTCTTTTTGGTATGACATAGAGATTTAAAATATTTTGCCTCTTTCAGTTCTGCCTATAGTAGTTGATATAGATAACTTCCTAGAAGTATTTTTTGTTTAAAGTGGGAATGCAGGGTGTAGATTGTCAGACCTTGGTGTGTGGAACATGCAGAGCATGCTGGGACTTCAGCAGCACTCAGCCCGGTCTCTTGTTGGCTCGGGCCATTTGTTCCTTCATTCCTTCCTTTCTTGCATTGCAGTGTGTCCTCCATGAGGTGTGGGGTGAGGTCTTTGTGTAGGGGGTGATCTGTGGGTCTTAGGTGACTGGTGTGTAGGGCCCATCTTGGCTAAGGGTGTGGGCTGGATAGGGTATGGGTGTTGCATGTGAGTTTTATGTGAGAGGAAGAGAATGCGGAAGAGGATATGAGTGGGCTGAAGGGAACAAGAACGAGAAACTATGAGAGGGAGTAGAGGAGGGTGTGCTTAGGTAACATTTTGGTCTAGAGACCCATGGGTGCCCAGAATGCATTCGTGGTAATGGACTAATTCCAAATAGCCTAGAGGGATAGGGCTGCTGGAAGGCCATCTACTCTGGTTTCACTCAGAGACTGGGGTGGCTAAGCCTACAAATGAAGGCACCTGTGACCAGGAAGGAGGAGAGACGAGCAGAGAATGATAGGGGCTGATCAAATAGTTGCATTGATTGCTTTATATGCCATATTAATTTCAGTTCAATTAAGTGAGCAATTACATACATGCCAGGTGTAATTATAAAGACCTTTGTCTTCATAATTATCTTGACCTTTGTGTCAGATGCTATTGTTTTTTCTATTTCATCCATTCACCTGACAGAAAATATGCTTTTTGATGGTTCCTGCAGTGTTTTTTCATAGGTCCAACTACTTGGAGAGAGACTAATTTCTCTCATTCCAAATTCCTAGGGAAGGAATCTGGGATGATTGATCTGGGGTCAGGTTCCCACCATGGACCAGTCTGCTTGTCCTAGAGGTTGTTGACTGAGGGGTGACCTTGGCTGCTGGGAGCCTACTTGTATGGATCAGGTAGGAACAGCTAATTGGGAAGGAGAATGTGGAGAGCTGGAAGACAGCCCAGCAGAGTTCTGCATCATTTCCATCTTGTTTCATAGACTATCTTTTTCCATATGTCTTACTACATTTCTTACCATGTGTCTGTGTCATTGTGACCCCCCCACCTCTTGAATATGATGACTCAGACTGCTTTTCCAGGTGTGTGGAGCTCACACCTGTTCCTTGATTCTGCTCCAGGATTCACACATTGCTGATACTGTATTTGCTTTTATATGTTTCTTACATTTCCAAAGGAAGATAAAGGATAAGAATCTTAAGGATCTTAGGCCTTCTCAGAACATGCTGACCTCCCTGTTCTGTGTGCCTTGTTGGTGACATTCACCTCTGTTCAAGAAGCCATTCTTAAAACCCTTCTTCTCCTCCTGTAGCTTTGGACCCTGTACTCTTTCCTCTTTCCTGATTCCTCAGTGGTTCCTTCCTGAGTACCTTTGGTCACTGCACTTCCTCCTTCAGGCTGCCTGCTCCAGGGTTCTGGATTCAACTGGCCCTTTGTGTTGGTGACTGTCTTAACTGTGTTCCTTTGCACCAGCCTTAGTGTCTAGCAGCTCAGACTCCTAAACCTGGAACTCTGAGTTTTGTCTCAACCCCTTTATTATGATCAAAGTCATTTAGGCCTAGGACTTTCATTGCTTTAGGAAGTTTCTATCCCTGATTGAGAAAGAATCAGTTCCATCCTTTTTCCCAACACAATTGTATGTGTGCACACTCATTGGTTGTCAGGTCTTGTCCTCTAGAATGCTTTGCCTGAGTTTATGCTTTTACTCTCACTCCCCTGAGCTATTTTAATAACTCCCTTAATTAGTCCTTTTTCTTTCAATCTTTTCTCGGCTTCCCGTCTTTAAGACTGCCACCAAAGTCAGTGATGCAGGACACAGGTCTGATGATATCATGCCCATCCTCACTGTCCTGGTCTTGCCCATCAAATAATATCCACACAGTGAGGCACTCTGGCCTCTTCAGTGACAACTGTGATCACTTACGAATACCATTCTAGGCAGGGCCTGTGCCACAGGTGTCACATACACTATTTGACCCTTGCAGCGATCTTGCAGGTAAAGAGCAATTTGTTTGTCCACGTTAAATAGATGAGAAAGCTAAATAACTCAGAGCTGAGCTGTCCTGCCATAGACCGTTGCCTCTGTCTTCTATCAGGTGCCTTTTTACATCTCTTGTGTGCATTTAGGGTCATCCCAGGGAAGGGATGTCTCTTTCTCTTCCCAGTCACAAAGTCATTCTTTATGACTTAAGGGAGAGTGCTACCTCCAGGAAGCCGTCCCTGCAAGCCAGTTATTGCACCCTTTTGTTCACTTAAATTGTGATTTATAGGTGTTTTCTGGTCACAAGGCATTCTTCTTCCATTCATTATAATTGGCTTTTTGCACATCTGATTCCTGGACTGTTAATTCTTTTGGGTTGGGTGGCGTTGTGTTCTCATTTATTTGTGCCTGACTTCTGGTGTGCCTATACTTGCATGTCCTAGGGATGCAGGAAGGCCAAAGTGACTTCAGGGAATTCACCTGAAAGGACAGTCAAGGGGTGTGCTGTGTAGAATTCTTTGTAGCACATAGAGTCCTTTTGTTGGCATGAAGCACTTTTATATCTATGCTTCCTCTTCCCAAACATGGCTGAGGTTCATGTGTATGGCACCCGGTATATTGTTAAGTCCAGTGGACTCTTAAAAGTCTCCTACAAGCCTGTCTAGTATGTGTCTGATGTCATTCACCAATGGAGCTCCTGCATTCCTGGGTTGCTAGGAATGGGAATGGGCATGTTTGGTAAATGCACAAGACATGGGGAAATATAGAAGACAGGCCTTGCAGTAATATAACCAGGCCTCAGTGAAACTGGAATATAGTTGAGGAATGGGAATTTCACTTAGAATCAAGTAATGGAACACTCCACCAAATCTGAAGTCTATATCTCCCCAGCAGCTGGCATCAGCAGTGTCCTATCTAGTATTAAGTCATCCATTATTGTGGTCACTCAGTCACTCAGGTATTCTTGTTCTCAGCTTGTCCGTATCTTCGGGACATACTCTCTAAGAGGGTTTTCGTGGTATTTTCTGCTATCATTGGCCAGAGCTTTCAGGCCAGGCCTCCTAGGTCAAGTGCCATTGAGCAGGATATGGCTACTTATGTGGCAGAAACTGCCAAGAGCCACTTCTCCCCCTGGGATCCTGTGGGAGAAGTGTGTGGTTGATGACCTTTCCCAGACAGCATTGTGTGAACCCCTATAGGATGTGTAAAGATGGAGAAGAAACTGTCCCTGCCATCAGATGGCCTAAAGTCTATTGGAAAAGTTAAGGATAGGTGTATCAGGAACATACCTACTGTTCACAGAAGTAGAAGTTTCCTTTACAGATTGATAACCTTGTGTGATTAGATCTGTACTTTTCAGACTAATAGAACTGCACATCAACTTGCTTTAACTTGCATTGAAATTGAATCTCGGGCTGGTGGAGAGGCTCAAGTGGTAGGTGCCTGCCTAGCAAGTGTGAGGCCCTGAGTTCAAACCCCAGTACCACCAAAAAAAAAAAAAAGAAGTTGACTCTCACTATGACCTGACCTTTAGTTAAATAACATCCAGAGGATAGGAATAAAACGGTACCACAACTGCATGTCAACTCAGATGCATTACTGAGTGCAGTTTTGGAGTCTATCCTTCATTATCTCTACCAAACCTTTTAGAGTCTATCATTGAAATATTATTCCCTACAATTTCAATAAGAAAAATGTACATTTTGCAGTGTATAGTCTTTATTACATATATCAAATCCTTACCACCCAGATTTCTTCTGCCAGTTTTATGTTAATTTTTCTTTCCATGAATTACTCTGAACCTTATTTTTTCTTTTTTTTGAGAGAGAAATTATTTTTTCTTTTTAGAAATTTCGAGATTTCTTTAATCAAAATGAAACTGGTGACCCAGCCAAGGATACATGTGTGATCCTGACAGTGGAAGGGCGAACATTTCCGGTGGATATCTTTTACCTGCAAAGGTTTGATGATGTTTAGTTCTTGATGGCGGTGACTGGAAACCCAAGCCTGCAGTTTGGGATGATGGGGACCTGCATCTGCTTGCAGCACTAAGGGCACTGGGGAGGACCATGTGTATTTCTCCTGTCACTGACAGAAAGTTTTGGAGCCCTGTTCAGCATCACTGCTGAATTTAGTGTGAAGTCTTGACACTGAGTGGCAAGTTTGCATGAAGCTATGGTCCTTAGCTCAGTTGGAGAGAGCAATGGGGTGAAAAGTTGAGGTGAAGAACTTGGTACTTCTCTGAACTGGAGTTTGTGAGGATGCCTGTCAGCAAGGGGAGTACTGGTGATTTGGGCCATTCTGTTTCCAGCCCTCAAGAAGGCCTTTTTGGCATTTTGGGGAGGAGCCCCCTTGGACAAGACAAGTGACATCCTAATTCCTGTACCTAGTCATAGGGCAAACCAAGACCAGGGTCTGGTCCAGTGGCTGATAAATGCAGAAAATTGTAGACTTCTCAGTCATTCTGGCTGGAGAGCTGGCCACCAGCTCCATACACTAGACCCAAAGGGGCTGACTATAGCCAGGAAGGAAAATGGGCTGGGAAGAGGGTGGGCTTCAGCACTGAGACCACAGTTCCTAGTTTTCCCTGGCTTAGCATCTTTGCATGATAAAGATAGCACATCTACATGCATGGGTATATTGTTTATATGTCTTTGCAAATATAGCTAAAATTCATAGTTTCCATATACTTATGCATTATTTTTGAGTGCTGCATTTAGTGTGTGTGTGTGTATTTCTATTATTATTTTTGGCAGTACTAGGAATCAAACCCATGCCTCAAGCAGGCTAGGCAAGCATTTTACCACTGATCTACATTCCCAGCCCTTGAACACTGCATTTAAAACAAAGAAAAAAAAAAAGAGTGCATATTTATTTTATTTAACCATATACCAATTACATGCTGGGCAGGCCCAAACTAATATTCATGAGGTTTTGCTGCCAGATAATTAGGGTAATTGATCTGTAACTAATGAGCATATTCTAGTGATGCATTTATCTCATATGTCTTTTCAGTCCTGTTCCAGATTATATCAAATCAGCTGTGGAAACTGTAGTGAAAATTCACCAGACAGAGGGAGATGGAGACATACTAGCTTTTCTTACTGGCCAGGTAATTCCACCAAGCCTCTCTGATGAATAGACTTTTAAGGCAGTACCAAAATTAATATAGAACCTTGTTACTTAGCCACTTATTTCATGTTTTGTTGTATTTTGTAGTTAGTAAATTGCATAGAAAATTGTTGGGTTTGATATCATTCATTGCTAACTAGCTTGTCAAGGAACTGCTAGCTCCTCCCTGTTCTGTGTACAGGGGTTAACTGTGTTTTAAAATTAGTAGCTAATTCCACAAAGAAATGTTTGAGTGAGTGAGCTGCTCTGTATGCCAGGATTGAATGTTACATTAGGTGTATTTAGCCTCATGCATGTTGCCACCATCCGCCCCTTTCCCAGTGATCCTTTGCAACTCATCCTGGAGGTGCTAAGTGGCCACGTTACTGGATAAACAAATGAACAAGCACAAGTGTTCCCCCAAGGTTGTAACACTGTGTAGAACTACCCTCCAGCTGTAATCTTTTCCACTGCCAAACATTTTCCCTTATAGTGACTTTATAGGCCACAAGTTGTCCATATGCATGAAATGCTTTGTTTCCCCAGTACATAAAAACTGAGAAAAAAAGTCATTATTTTTATATTGGGAACTCTTCTATTAACTGAAGATGTTTAGTTTTAGTAGTTAATATCACAGTTGCAAATTTTTACTACTTTGGCACCACTGTTCAGTAGCATTTGATTAAACATCAACCCAGAGTGAAATGTGGTAGCACTGAAATTCATGACAGTGACCAAAGCTGAAATCTCTATCTCAACTTTCATTGTTTTTTAGTGTGATAAAATGGCATGCTTCACATTGATCTCAGTTTCTTTGGTCCAATGTTTAGGAAGAAGTAGAAACTGTTGTGTCTATGCTAATTGAGCAGGCCCGTGCACTCGCTCGCACTGGGATGACAAAACACCTTCGGGTTCTCCCCATGTATGCAGGACTGCCTTCCTTTGAGCAAATGAAAGTGTTTGAAAGGGTATCACGAAGCGTCAGAAAGGTGAGACTATTCTGGTGACCAAAGGTGCTTTAGCCTTCAGCTATCTATAAATCATTAGTATCCCTTTGCCATGCATTGCAAATTTTTTTTTTTAAAACTGAAGAAAACTTGCTAAACAGGCACTTTTTAAATTTTTTCTTAGCATTTTAGGCCCTTGTTTCTGTGTAGCAGATCTAAAAGCACATAGTAACTAATGTGTTGTGAAGATTCTGCACCTTCTCCCCAGAGGGCCACTCTGTCAGTAATTATCAGAGCATATGGTTTCTCTTTGCATCTCTTCTTCCTGCGTAACATTTCCCATGACACGTTATTTCCTTGGCCTGAGAGTCTGTCATGGTTGATTGTGGTCGGTAAGGAACAATAGATAAAGTTATCACCAATGATTGCTAAACCATTTGTTTTGAGTACCAGTTTGCCTATACAGCCAAGTTTAAATCAATTATTTCAGGGTGTGGCTTAAAAAATATTTAGCTTGAAATTGAGATGTGGAAGGGTGTGGTGGGAAGAAGCATGGGTTAGAAGGAGCCAGCTGTTGGCTAATTTGACTCCTGCTCCCCACCCCTTACTCTCCTTTTCCTTCCATTAGATGAGGAGTGCACAGCAGGTGGCAGAGAATAAAATAGGTGAAGCATGCTCTGAGGATTCATTCCCAATTTCAGGCCACTTGGAAGAGGGTGCCTAGCCTCTTGGGATGGATGAACCTGAATCTGCCCAGTCAAACATGAATTGCAGCCAATCAGTCAGAAGGCATGGATTCCACCCCTGAGTTCTGTGTGCCCCTGGATAAGTTCTTAATCTCAAGTTTCAGTTTTCATAGCTGTAAAACATAGATAACTTAGATAGATGGTTTTATAATATAAAGTCACAACTCACTACTATATAAAATATTAGGAAGCTTTTAAAAAATGATTTTATAAAATGTAAAGTGCCTGAAAAAAGTTCTTAGTGTTCTATATACATGTCCCCTGATGCTTAAAATCCTCAGTGGCAGCTCCAGTATACCTGGAATAAGATGCAAGTACTTCATGTTGGTACAGAAATGGCACATTAGCTGGGCCCTGCCTATATCCCCAGGCTCATCTCAGCCACCACACTGGCAGTTTCTACTTCCTTTGAACTGTGGCTGCTTCTTGGTACTTGGCTCTCTGTAGGGTTGGCTGCTTCTTGGTACTCAGGTCTCAGCTCAGAGTCTTTCAGAGAAGATTACTCTGGCCATCCAATATAAAGGCACATGCCCTATTATTATAATGTATAATACTATATACCACATCATATTATATTACTGGATTGGTTTTTTCTCCTGTTATTTGTCACTCTAAAGTTAGCTGTTTGTTATATTCACCCTGTTTCTACCCAAACACTCACACAGAGTGTAAAAAGAGTGGGCTTTGTCTTGCCCATCATACCTCCCCAGTACCTTGGACAGCGTCTAGGCAGTGTAGACCCTGAGAAATAATTATGATATGATTGAATAAATGAATACATCTGTGTTAAAATGATAATTTACTTTGGTTGTGCAGAAAAGAAAAACTAACATTGTTGAATTTGCCATGTGCCCAGTATTATGTTCTAATCACTTTATGTATCTTATTAATCCCTCAGCAACCTGGGGGAAAGGTAGCTATTATTATGTAGATGAGGAAACTGGTTTTCAGGACGGTAAATACGTTATACAGGGTCACAGGATTGGGGAAGCTTCCAGCCCAGGGTACCCAGCTCTTATTAAACTCTTGCTCTTCATGGTATGCCAGACTGCCTCATACTCTGTGATGTTTGAAATATCATTGGATCTTTAGGACTGTTAACAGTTCATTTAAAGTGAAAAAAAGAAACAAATGATTTCTCTTCTTTTCCTTCTTTCTGTGGGGAATGTAGGTGATTGTGGCCACCAACGTGGCAGAAACCTCCATTACAATCAGTGGCATTGTTTACGTGATCGACTGTGGCTTTGTGAAGCTGCGGGCCTACAACCCAAGGACAGCCATCGAATGTTTGGTGGTGGTGCCAGTGTCCCAGGCGTCAGCCAACCAGCGGGCAGGGCGTGGTGGACGCAACCGCTCAGGAAAGTGTTACCGCCTTTATACAGGTTAGTTTGGCTTTCCTTAAGGGCTTCTGACTTCCTCAGAGTTAGTGTAGGTATTGACTTTGGATAACAGCAAATGTTTATCTGTAATAACAGAAGTTAATGTAAAATCCAGCCCTCCCTCCCAGGGCCCTGTGTGATCTGCCTTCCTCACTTTAAACCCAGCCTTTGTGTGTGCCATTGGCCAAAGTTGGCCCTCCTGCCTGCCACACCAGTCTAACGTGGTGTCTGGACCTAGGTCCTCCTATGGCCTTTGTCCCTGTAGCGTAGGCTTTGTATCTCAGGTTCTGTGTTTGCTACCTGTCCCTTAGCTTGATGTGCTGTTTTCTTACTCTGAGATCCCTGAATCCTGTGGGGGTCTCACATTGGGTTCTCCTGCTTCGCTGACCTAGTATGGAGGATCTATCCTGAGACTCATGCATAGACAACAGATAGATGGTAAACTCCTGCTCTGTGGCATGCACTGCGCTAGGCTCTCAGGGAGCAAAATTAAATTCTGATAAAGATAGTCCCAGCCCTTCAGGAGCTTTCATCCCAGCCCAAGACAGCCTTAACCAATGGTTAGGCCTTCTTAGGGAACAGTACTAAGATTTTTTTCCCAATGGAACAGACTTGTTTGTAAGTCATTATTAATTCCCTCCTCTGTTGCTGTTCAGTATGAATCTGTAGGCTTACTAGGTCTGATCTGAAGATTTCAGATCTTCCATCTATCTCTTCCTTTCATTTGTGGTTACCATCATTTTGATGATCTAGGGCCAGGTAAGCTGTGACCTGCAGCTACATGGTGGGTAGCCTGGTGGTGGAGGTGAACTCACAAATAGATAGTATATTACCATGTGATAGCATTGCTGTAGAGGATAGGAAGCAGAGAAGAGGGTTTATGGGCCTCTGCTGGGGAACTGGGGAGTGCTTCACAACTGAGGTGGTGTCTGAGCCTGATCTTATTGGAGGTTGTTATCCAGAAGAAGGGGCAACATTGGAAATTCAATTTCAGGACACAGGCAGGTACTTAGAGGACACTGAGGGGACATAGAACATGTCTGGAAGAGAAGGGATGGACATAATCAAGGCTGGAGAGGTAGGGCAACCCCTGCAAATGCTAGAAAGGCATGATTGGATTAAGGAAAGGGGAACCAGGACTAGGGCACCCTGAGATGTGGAGGAAGAGGAAGTTTCAAGTTTTAATTTATTAAAGTGAAATTTATACAACATAAATTAACCATTTTAAAGTGAACAATTCAGTGGCGTTTATTACATTTGAGATATACATCCAGATCGTTGTCTAGTTTCCAAACGTTTCCATCACTCCACTACAAAACCCTTACTGTTAAGTGGGACCTGTAGCTCCTGGCCTCATTCTTCCTGGTTCCCAGGCTCTGGCAGTCACCACTCATTGTTCCATCTTTTTGGGATATTTCATATAAATGCCATCATACAGATGTGATCTGTGTGTACATTGTAGTGCATACTTCATTCCTTTTTTTTATGATTGAATAATATTCCATTGTATAGCTAAGCCATTTCATTCATCAGTTAGTGACCATTTGGGATTTTTCATCCTTTGGCTATTAGAACTAACGTTGTTATTAACATGAATGTACATGGACTTAAATACCTTTCTTTAATGCTTTTGGATATGGTATTCTCTGTTTAGCTTTTTAAGGAACTCAAGTTGTCTCTTTTTTTTTTTTTTTTTTTTTTAAGCAGTTTGAACATAGCATCACACTTACTAGGCAGGCACTCTACTACTTGGGCCATGCTCCCAGGCTTTTTGTTGTTGTTGTTTTAATTAGTTTTAGATAGGGTTTCCCATTTTTGCTTGGGGCTGGCCTTGAACTGTGCCGATCTCTTACCTGTGCCTCCCACGTAGCTGGGATGACTGGTGTGTAGCACTGCGCCCAGCTTGTTGGTTGAAATGGGGATCTTACTAACTTTTTGTTCAGGCTGGCCTTCAACAGTGATCTTCTTGATATCTGCTTCCCAAATAGCTGGAATTACAGGTGTAGGCCACCATCCCTGGCTTCAGGTTACTTTTTAAAGAGAATATGGTAGTATCCTGACTAAGGTAGGTAGACAGATTTAGGTAATGAGCACCAAGTCTGTAGTATGAGTGGGTTTTGGTGGAGATGGGGTTGGGGAAGGGCTGCCAGACAATAATGAGTGCACTGGCACCGAGCCCTGTGGCTCCCAGGTGAGCTTTCAGAGAATGCAGCTCTGAGCAGGTTGCTCAGATCCTTCACGGTTTTCCAGAACATTTTAGGACTTTTCCTCAGTTCGTCTCTTGTCACAAACCATCTGTCTACCCTATACTGCTTCTAGCCACACTGTGCTCTTGCTGGACATGCCCTCTGCTTTCCCACATCTGCTGCTGAGTCCTTTGATGATTCTTCTCTCTTCACCCAGCAGATCCTCCTATTCTCAACTCTGCTCTAATGGCAGCTCCTTCTGAGGCATCTTCTTTAGAGTCTTCCTCCAATGGCCGTGCTTTCCTTCATCCAACCTCCAGTTCTTTGTGAGGACCACTGGGTCCCAGTTCTTGCTGGGATTCCTCTGTTCCTTCTTGTAATGCACAGTCTGGTCTTGGTCCAAGCCCTTTCCTGTCACTGATGCTTCTGGGGGATTTCCTGTGTCTCCTATAGCTCCACACCATCGAACTCTGAGCATCTTTGTCTGTGAACTTGAACACCTGCTTTCCCAAGCTCCTTTTCTGTAAGGTGGGCCTTCCCTCTGATGACTTTGCTTCTCCCTTGTCCAGTGGTATGCTTGGGAAATGTGGTTCTCCTACCAAAAAAAACTTGAACCTAAGATCTTCTTGAAACCAGAGAACTTCCTGCTGTTGCCTGTCATTTATGCCACATAGTCCAGAATATGGGTTGTCTGTTTCCTCAAAGAAAACCTTTTTGAAGTTTTTCAGTGATAGTGCTGTTTCTTCATGATGCCTTTTGCTATGTTTTTTTTTTCCTCTAGTTAACTAAAACTTCATGATTTAAATAGATGTTGGGCCCCTCTGGAATTTAAGAAGGGTGTGCGTCTGTTAAAATGTTGATGATGTGAGAGGATGTGGTGGTTGGAGGCTTCTCTTTGTAATCCATAAGCTTTCTGAATATCCACAAAAATGAGTTAATCTCTTCCTTCCTCTCTTCTCTTCGCCCTTTTGGTGTAGTTTTTAATTTAAAAAAAAAAAAAGCCTTCTAAAGTCTCTTCCCCTCCCACCCCTTTTCCAGTCCCTCCCACCTTGGGACCTCTGTGCCTTGTGGTGCTGTGTCCTCTTTGTGGCTGATGAGGCACTCATTAATCTCTTTGGGGCAGCATCAAATTCTGGGTATGACATTGTACTTGGCTCCTTCATTTAAAAAGTTAGATTTGGGCAATTTTTGCTGTTTATAATTTGATTGTTTATTATATTCTAGTAGCTACTTTGGTGATTTAAAGTTCTTTGCTAGTATGTGTAGTTCTTGCCTCCGTCACATACTTTATCCCAAGCAGAATTAATAGTAATTGAGCACCAGTAGTGATTCAGCAAATATTTGTTACTTCAGTTTTATATTTTGTTGCCAAAAAGCACTTGAGAAATAGCACTCTAAAGTAAAACCCAGGCATGGTGGTGCACATCTGTAATCCCAGCACTAAGGAGGCTGAGGCAGGAGGATCACAAGTTCCAGCAAGATGCTGGAACCAAAAGGAGAAAACCTTTAAAAAGGTGTATTTTTCAAAAGTATTTATGTAAAGTACTTTTAAATTAGAATGTTTTTAAAGATAAATACAACTTTGCATAGTAACGTCATATGCATCTGGTCCCAGACTCCTGGAGCCACCCCCCGCCCATTAAAGGTAAAGAAGGAAGACCATCCCTCTGGTATATAATTGCATTTGAGTGTCACATCTGATCTCAAACAGTCTGCCTTCCTATCCTCAGAGGACGCCTTTGACAAATTGCCTCAGTCCACAGTTCCTGAGATGCAGCGTAGCAACTTGGCCCCTGTCATCCTACAGCTGAAAGCACTAGGGATCGACAACGTCCTCAGGTTCCACTTCATGTCAGTAAGTCCTGCCTTCTGTCCAGGGAGCTTGTAGGGGGTTGTCAGGACATGGTGGATGGGCATGCCATCTTTCTTTTTCCTCCACTCAGCTCAAGTGTCATGAGCCTGATTGGTGCAGGGCCTTTACAGGGCATGGGAGAGAACAGACAAGGCAATGTAGTTCCTGTTCTTGTTCCGGTTTTGTTCTGTTGGGGGATGGAGACAAGTAAGCCAGTAACTGTAGAGCAGTTGCTCAATGCTCTGAGAGGCGAAGGAAGGGCCCCCAGCCCTAACAGTCATGTCTGAGGGGAAACCTGAAACCCAAGTAGGATTTTACTAGGTCTGGAGGGCTGGAGAGTTCAGGACAGCCAATCTGTGTATAGGTTTGGATGCAGGAGGACTGAAGTGGAGGAGCTGAGAGGGCTTTGGCAGAGATGAGGGGAAGCCCCTGTGGCTGATTGCATTTCTGATGGCTTCCTAAGGCAGGTTGCTAGGAGTGGAATCATTGGGCCTAAGACCATAGTCCTTTGGTACGTCCTTGATGCATGGCTGACCCCTGTGCCATGTCTGCTCCAGCAAACATGCGTAATGGCCTGGCTCCTGGTGTCCTCATCATTTAGAGTTTTGTTAGTGTGACTGACAGAGCATAGGAGGAGGAGGAGATTCTCTTTACCCACTTTGTTTCTCATAAGGTAGATTAAAAAAAAGTTTATTAGCTACTTTATATTTCATTTGTTGTTTTGAGGTATTACTCTGTTAGAATTAGTGTTCATTAGTGATTTTTGGGAGTCCATTAGATATTGAAGACATTAACCTTTGTAATATTTCTTACAAATATTTTTCCTGTTCTTTGTAATTTACTGTTTTTTATTTGTTTTTTAATGTGCAGACATTTTAAACATACCACACTGAAATCTTTCTCTCTTTGCCTTTATGATCTCTACAGTTATTCTTGTGCTTATGAAGCACTAGGCCCGTTAATGCATATTCATTCACTCCTACTTTCTTCCTGCCTTTCTATGATCTGAGGATTCGCATGCTGGGTGTTTGTTCTGTCCCAGCTGTGTTGGTATGTGACGTGACAAGTTTGGATTTTTTGATAAGAAAGTCCTTTCTGTCATATGTTATGGGTGCAAGAAACAGGGAAAATAGGAAAGCATACAGTGAGAAAAACAAACTGAAACTATGCATACATTGTAATTTCAGATAGGTTAAAATAGTGCTTGTGATCCTGAATCAGATGTGATCCTAGAGAAATACTGGTAAATGTGTATTTACGTGGAAACACTATAGATATGATTTTTGTGGAGGCCAGAGGCAGGACATTTTTTGATTGATGGTAACTGACTGGAAATAGGGTCAGGATTGAAAGAAATCAAAGAGGCTTTGCTCTGTAATTGTTTAAAGCCTCTACCAGTACTTTGCTCCTCCTGTTACCCTGTACACCTCAGCGTGAAAGATCCCCAGAGGGTTGAAGCTCCATTTCACTGTGAAGAAAGATAGCAAGGCCCCAAGGAGGGGCGAGTAGACCGGTTCCATGATTTGCTCAGCAGTGATTTGTTGCACCCCATGTGCAGCGTTGGGGTTAGTTTTTACCCTCAGGAGCGTGTGCCTGGGCATGCAGTCATTGACTTTGTTCTTTGGCAAACAGAATGGGTGAGGTAGAGTGGAAAAAATGAGGCCTGAGCTTAGCTTCTGACTATGCTACCATGTGATCTTGTTCAAATATCTTTTATTTATGGTTTCTTTTCTCATCTGTAAAATTGGGCTAAAACAATCTGATGCTTAAATACATTTGTACATGGATGCATTTAGAAGAAAGCAGTTTGAAATGAATGCAGTTTGAAAAAGTACTACAGTTTTTTTGCCTGGTTTATTAGAAAGCAAATAACTTAGATGAAAATGATGTCTGACACATAGTAGGTGCTCAATAAAGATTTGTTGAGGAAGGAAAGGAGGTAAGGACTCTAGAAATCCCTCTGAAGGTCACAGTGTGAGCTTTGCTTAACTCCACAGCAGGAAGCATAGAGAAATCTCCCACGGTTGCTATTGTGTCGGAGGCTCCCAAGGTAGGAGATAGTTGCGACTGAAGTCAAAATTAGATATGTTTGAGGAGGGCTTAAGCAAATGAAGAGAGGGGGATGAGGTTGGACAGTCTTCTGTGATAGAGAGGAGAATGAGGGAGGGCTGCAAGAGGGACAGTTAATCAGGCTGAGTTTTAAAGGCCAAGCAGTAGTAAGGATGTTGAGAAGTCGGGAAGCATGCTTCAAAGGCACCAACAGCAGGAACCTAAGCATGGAGCCTGGGAAGAAAGGGGCATGCTAGAGGGAGCGTGGATTTGACCTGAAAGTGGTCACAATTTCAGTGTCTTGCCCAAAGAAAATAATTTAGGAGGACTTTTATGTGTTTTACAGCCCCCTCCAGCACAGTCGATGGTTCAAGCTTTGGAGTTACTCTATGCTCTGGGAGGTATGCCTGTTTCTCTCTTATTATGTGTTCTCCTATGTAATAATAGTTAATTGGGTTCACTTTAGGGCTCTGAGTATCTTTGGAAATGGGATTGGTCCTCCCCATATGTGTAATCTTCTTAGTGATAGTTACTCTATTGAAATAGAACTTGGGACCATAATTAGACAAAAGTACCTGAAGGCAAGTTATGGCAATTTATAAAGCATTTTGGTACAGCATAAGCTGTGGATAGCCATCACTAGGTCTCTGGACAAGGACATCTAGAGACCAGTGATTCTCTACCAGATTCACATGTTATCTCCTCCCCTGAAATCTGAGACTCCATGTCTCTCTGTCCTTTTCCCCCTTTGTTTCATTCCTGGAGGCCCTCTGTGGGGACTTGGGGAAATCACCAGCTTGAGGTGTTGTTTGGGGAAGGAAACTCTTCACTAGTTTGAAAATGTAGTATGTATGTTAAGATAGGGAAAACTGTAGCTGAACTCACCTCTTCAAGGAAGTGCCATCTCTTCCGTGAATGGTGTCCAGGTGAATACAGCATCTGGTTTGGTGTTAAGTTTTAGTGCAGGTTTGGTCCTGAGCTTTGTTTTGAGTGTCACTCTTTATAGAAGTACAGTTCACATACGTAAAATTCATCCATTTGCAATTTGGTGGCTTTTGGTTTAGTCACAGGGTGTACAGTCTTCACCATAATGTAATTTTAGAACATTTCCATCACTCAGAAAAGAAACCTGCGTCCATTAGCAGACTCTCTCCATTCCCATGCCTCCACAGCCCCAGGCCAATGCTAACCTGTTTTGTTCCTATAGATTTGCCTTTTCTGGACATTTCATATAAAATGGAATCATGTATGTAGTGTTTGTGATTGGTTTCTTTCATTTAGCATGTTTCAAGGTTTATCCACATTGTAGAATGTATCAGTACTTCATTCCTTTTTATTGCTGAATAATGTTCTATTGTGTGGATATACCACATTATTTCTATCTGTTCATTAGTTGGTGGACATTTGGGTTGTTTCTACTTTTTGGCTAGTATAAACAATGCTGCTGTGGACGTTAGCAAACAGATTTTTGGTGCTTCCCCTTCCCCAGCAGTGTATGAGAGTTCCAGTTTTCCCACATTATTGCCAGCACTTCTTAAATGCCTGCCTCGTTATCATGGCCATCCTCGTGGGTATGAAATGGTATCTAGTGGTTTTGACTTGCATTTCCCTGATGACTCCTAGCATCGAGCACCACTCCATATGCTCAGTTGTCATTTGTATACAGGGTCTCTAGTCCCTTGGGGGTTTCGTTCTTGGATCCCCTTCAGATACCAAAATCTGAGATACTCAAGTCTCATATAAAGTTGCATATTCTTGTATAATCTATACACATCCTCCTGTAAATTATCTCTAAATCACTTAGCGCACGTAATATGTGTTATGTAAGTAGCTCACTGTATTGTTTAGGAAATAAGGCAGGTAAAAAGTCTTTATGATTAGTACAGATGCAGTTTTTTTCACAAATAATTTTAAGCTATAATTGGTTGAATCCAAGGATGTGCAACCCCCAGATCTAAAGTGTCAGCCTTATTTTGTTTGGCAAAATCCTTTGCTTGTTGTTTGGTTATAGTATTTTTATTGTTGAGTTGGAAGAGGTCTTTATATATTCTTGGTACAAATATCTTATAAAGTATGTGATTTTTAAATACTTCTCCTGTTTGTAGTATGCAAGCTTAAGTTTTTGTGTGGCTCAGTTATCTAGTGTTTCTTTTGTCACTTGTGCTTTGGTGGCATGTCTAAGAAAATATTGCCTTGGACTGGCAGTATAGCTCAATAGTAGAACATGTGCTTAGCATGTGTGAGGAGGCCCTGGGTTCAAACTCAGCACTGAAAATACCAACAAAAAAATAACATTGTAAGGACCAGGTTTGTGGCTTAGGTGGTAGAGCACTTGCCTAGCAAGTATGAGGCCCTGAGTTTAGTCCAAGTACCTCAGGCAAACAAACAAAAAATACACTATGTCACCTTCATTAAGTTTTATTCCTAGTTTTCCTACAAATTTTAGTTTGGGCTATTACATTTAGGTCTTTGACCCATTTTTGTTAAATTTTTTCTGTGTATGAGGTAGTGTTCATTTTTATTCATCATGTTTTTGATACCTTTCTATGAAGGAATAGTCAATTATGGATCTAAAAGCTCTCCATTACTTTAAAGGGTCTCCCCAAAGTGTGTGCTGGAATAGGTTTCTGTTCCCTTCTCATGTAATAGGAAATTGAGAGGAGGGTTATCTGTAATGAGGATGTGAGGAATGTTGACTGTGTAGGTTTTTGCATTTGAGTTGATTTTCAGACAAACAGAACAAAAGATAAATTAGGTGGGCAGGGTACCTGCCTGTAATCCCAGCACTCAGGAGGCTGAGGCAGGAAGATCTTGAGTTTGAGGTCAGCTTGGGCTATATCATGAGACCCTGTCTCACAGAAAGAAATAACAGAAAAGTTGGACTGTTTCTTATTTCTTCACTACTCTAAATAAGCTGGAAAATATGGAGGAAAACCCACAGCTTAATTTAGTTCTGCCTTTGAAGAGATGATTATATTGGAAAAGAGAAGCAATTACCTTTCCATTCTTACCCTGAGCTCTCACACAGTTATTCTGATCAGGAAAGCAAGTCTGCATCTGGGGGGTCTTGGGAATCCAGTACCTGGGTATTGGCAAGTAGGGAGGAGGAGGACTGGAGGAGTCTGCCCCTTTCAGTAAACTGCCTGGGAGGCAGTTGGAAAAACCTGTCTAGTGTTGGTACCAGGTCTGGTCCAGTGTTTGGTTTCAGAGTTGCCGGCTTTGAGGATCACCCTCATGCATGTCTGTGAAGAGCAGAGGCCCAGGACACCATCCTGGCATCTCTGTGGCATGTGGGGCCTGGATGTGGAAGAAGGTGCTAAAAGTGACTGAGGGGGCTGGCGAGGTAGGTGGCAGAGAACCAGGAGAGCAGAGGTCATAGGAGCTGGAGAAGAGTAACTCCAGGAAGTTGTGGTCAGCAGAGTCAGACGTGCTGGACACTGATGGGAAGATGGCCTTGGTGTATCTGGTTTCTAGCTTTCGGCCTCATGTGAGAGCACTGTCTGTGGAGCATTGGGAATGGAGGGGCCGCTGTGGACTGGGGAGAGTGGGAGCAAAAGGAAGTTGCAGGCCCATTGCCTTACAATTAAGTCCTTGAGTGGAAGTTCTAAGAAGAGCAGTTTCTAAAAATTGGGCATCCAGGAGCTCAGGGGAAACTTCTTCTTTTAATGCAGTGGCATTCTGGTGTCAAGTTGAGTTTAGTAGTGCACGAGTCATCTTTGGATACCTTTTTTTCATACATCATGTTTTATTCTCTCGTGGTACATGCGTTCTGATTCCTCCTGGCAGGTCTGGACAAAGACTGTCACTTAACTGAACCACTTGGGATGAGAATAGCAGAGTTTCCTTTGAATCCCATGTTTGCCAAAATGCTGCTGGAATCAGGTGGGTAGAGCCTGGTGGCTCATGTGGATTTTATAATTGATTATTGGAGATGTTGTTTCCCTGAATTCTGTGTACCCTGGGAGAAGAGGACCTAATTGTGGTTAAACAACAACAAAGAATTTATTTTTGACAAATAAGTATTGTATATATTTATGGGATGCAATGTGATGTTTTCATCTATGTATATACATTGTGGAAAGATGCAGTAATATCTCTGTCACCTTACCAACTTACTTTTCTGTGGTGAGAACATTAAAAATCTATTCTCTTAGCAATTTTGAACTATACATTAACTGTATCATTAAAACTTACTCCTTTAGTCTGAAACTTTGTACCCTTTGAGCAACATCCCTGCTTTCCCCATCCTTCCACCTCCCACCTGCCAGCCTCTGGTAACTGTTGTTTTCTGTGAAATGGACTTTTTTAGATTCTACATATAAGTGACATATAGTGTGACCTGTAATGGTGGCATTTATTATTCCCTCCATATAGTGTCAAATAACAGAATTTCCTTCTTTTTCAAAGGCTTTATGGTCTTCCATTGTATGTACACCACATTGTCTTTATCCACTCGTGTTGATGGACATTTAGGTTGCTTTCATACTTTGGTTATTTTGACTAATGTTGTAATGAACACAGGAGTACAGGTTTTTCTTCCACATTCCAATCTCAGCTCTTTTGGATGTGTGTCTGGAGGTGGGATTGCTGGGGCATGTGGGAGTTCTAGTTTTAGTTTGCTGAGGAACTTTCATCTGTTTTCCAAAATGGCTGTACTGACAGTTCTAACTTTTTGAGGACTTGCCATACTGTTCACCACAGTGGCCATAACAGTTTACATTCCTGTTACCAATACACAAGGGCTCCAGTTTCTCTGACTTGCAGATTTTTGTGAGGAAATGAAATCAAATCATCTAGATAGTATAGCTGACTCCTCTCCCAAAAGGGTAAGACTAATGTTTTTCTTGGCTTTGTCTAACTTTTAGATGAGGCAGTTCATGAAGGTGTATTTCAGAGCCATCATGGTGCATATTAGCTATAATTGTGTTTTGGAACAACCAGGTAGCCTTAGCCTTCCATTGAAAAACAGGTTCTAAGCGTGGAGTTGGGAGAACACGTCACACACAGGTCAGAAGCTGTGGGGAGATGGCAGGAGTGCTCTGTCCAGTGTCTTGGTGGGCTGCTTCCTGCAGTCGGTTCCTAGGAGGCAGCAGCAACAACTCACAAAGTGTCATTCTGGACTCCCTGCTCCTCGAGCTTCCAAGGTGAGAGGAGCACCTGTGAGAGACAGAAGGACACTTGTGGCACCTTGCAGAAGGGCCAGGAGCAGAGAAACAGGAGGAGGGGCACAACCCCACACAACCTGTTCCTTTTTTCCTTGCAGGCTTGTGCCAGGATTCCACATGTGCACATGAGAGTAAGGACTAGGTGTGCAGCTGACCTACCCTTGGTGGCGGGGCCATGTTGGCTGAAGGCAAGAGCCCTCAGTGTTACACTTACAGAGTGGAAGAGTAGCTTTTCTCTCAGAGCTCTTCATGACTGAGCTCCGTGTAGGACATTCCACTTGGCAGAGTGAAGTATTTATATGCTATAAACTTCAAAGAAATGAAACTATATAAAAATACCATCTAATTTTTCAGTGTGATGCAAGGAAAATATCAGAAAATGTCTTTTACTCCTTGTTCACAAATTGTTGACTTTTTTTTTCCTTTGTGGTGCTGGATATGGAACCCAAGGCCTCACATGAACTAGACAAGTGCTTTACCACTGAGCTGCAACCCAGCCTGATTTGTTGACACATTGTATGTTTGCAAATATGCCTTTTGTTTTCTAGGAAATTTCGGCTGTTCTCAGGAAATTCTAAGCATCGCGGCCATGATGCAGATCCAGAATATCTTTGTGGTCCCCTCAAACCAGAAGTCACAGGCAGTAAGTCCACCTTTCTGCCCATGCTGTTCATATTATTTTCTTTCACTTTGGATGTTCTTTTATTAAAATTCACCCAGAAACTGCTGTGGAGTTGTGCAAATGATATTAGCTCTCATTGTAAGGGTTTCCTGTGTGCCTGACATTGTGCAAAGTGCTTTACACAAACAATTTCCATTTTATCTTCAAAATAAATCTTAGCAATAGATTCTGTTACCATATTTTAAAGATGATTGCACAGCTGGAATTGGCAGACCTAACCATGGCACTGCTGACTTTCAGGTCTCCGTCAAGGAACTGTTATTCTAGCTGCTCTGTAGAAACCTTGGTGGGCATGTTAGTCACATAAGGAATCAGGTGCCTTGGCAGAGCAGACTTATTCTTGGCACCACACTGCGCCATAGAGGTGTTTGAAGTAGGACATTTTAAGTTAAAATCAGCGGCCAAGACCCTGTGTAAGGCAGAGGCATTAGTGCTAAGATAGTAAACACTGGAAAGACTGGAGGAAAAATGAGGGTACTGATGAGTTACCTCTATAGGAGGGTACCATTGGAGCTGGGGTCCCGGGGTGATTCAGGATGCATAGAGGGAGGAGCTCCCCTTTCTCAAGGATGGTTGTGATCCTCCCTGATAGTTGTGTGTCTACAGATTACAGATTTTCCCGCCTCTATGACCAGATGGGTATATCTTTTATATATATATCTGTTATTTACATATGGGGTTCTTGTTTGTTTGATCCTTTATAACCTATTTTAGCAGGCCTATCTCAGGGCAAGCAACTCAGTTTAAATAGGAGAAAACTGGTTTGTTTTTTATCTCTTTGTCTAAAATAATAGTAACTTCCTTTCCCATCCACTCTTCTCCTTTATTGCTTCTTATTATCCTGGTAGACTATATATTTTGCTTGTTTATTTTGTTTCTTGTTTCCCTCACCATGTATCACTATTGTATTCCAAATGCTTAGAACAGTGCTTGTTCTGTAGTAGTGCTTGGTAAACATCTGTTATTGGTGAGAGGGAGGGAAGAAGGAAGGTTACTGTGACATTAGTTCAAGGATAAAATTCTGAAGCTAATGTATTTGTGCTCTTTGTGTATACTGCTCCTCAATTCTATGAGAACCAATGGCAGGTCCAGGATCTTAAAGAAGAATTCAGCAATGAGATCTGAAAGGACCAGGCAGCTAGTGCTGGCCTAGGAATATGGGGTGTCTCACATGTGCACAATCAGTCCATGCCCTCCTGGGGCCTACATTGTGTTGGGGGCTTGGAGGAATGCTTCTAAGAGAGATGATTTCTATTGGATAGAGGAAGACAGAAACAGGGACACTGACATTTATCAAATTCCTGTGCCAAGGACTTTTTAGTAAATTATCTTAATCCACAGAAATATTGATAAAGAGGTTTAATTTCCTGATTTTTACAGATAAGGAAATTGAGTCCAAGAAAGGTTAAGTAACCAAACTGATGGCTTTCAGGATACAGCAGAGCTAGGGTGGTGTGAACCTGGTTTTCTGAATCCTCAACCATACTGTTTGTCATTCCCAGTGCATGGAAGTCAACTTCTAAATGAAACTTTATTCTTTCCAGATTCGAGTACACAGAAAATTTGCTGTCGAGGAGGGTGACCACCTCACCATGCTCAACGTGTACGAAGCATTTATCAAAGTAAGCCTGGTTATGGCTCAGAGGGATCCCCTCACCCATTTCCGGAGCCCAGAAATTAGTTCACAAAAAGACTTCTTAATTTTCCTGTCATATTTATTGCCAGTGGGTTGGGAGTCCCACCTGAGTTTTTGGTGTGATATTATTGGAAAGAACACAGGAATCGTTCATTGCTTTTCCTTGCTTGCAGACCTGGCACACTAGAAGCAGGGTGATGGCTTGGCCTCCCAGTGTCCCACATCTACCATGTGTTGGACAGAAAGGCAATGTTTGAATAGGAGGTTCTGCCTCATGAATGGGGCAGAGAACAACTTACATTCTTGGACTGAATTTTCATAGTTGTCCCAGCTGCCATGAGAACATGTTTAGGCAAGGATCTGTGTGTGTCCAGTTATCCTACGTGTGTTTGCCACAGACAATGCTAGTTTTCATTCTTAATGTTCCAGCTTAAAGTTCTCACTAAAAATTGTTAAAAAGAGTGATCTCAAGTGGGTGAAAATGATGGAAAAAGAAGCCATGCAGAAGATGGAATGGTATTTCAGATTTTCAGTGTTTCATTTCTTTTTCCTTCTTTCTCCTTCTCCTTCTTTTTTTCCTCCTTTTTCTCTTCTTTTTCCTCCCTCTGTTCCTCTTTCCACCTTCTCCTCCCCCTCCACCCTCCATCCCCCCTCTCCCTCTGTCATCCGTCCTCGCTATCCTGCTTCAGCCTCATGAATTCTGGAATTACAAGCATGCACCATCAGTATTCATTTCTTAAATGTTTTTTTGAAGGAGGAGTAATGCCAGATTTTCATTTTAGCAGAGATTTGAGGAAGATTATTCAGTTAATGATGGTTTTAGAAAAAAACCACTTCTTTTATTGAGACTTAAGGATTGAATCACTTAAAATTTATTTGTACAAGTACAGCATACCATCTGCAATTGGAAGTTTTTCTCTAGCAGTAGAATGCAGGTATAGGTCTGCGTTGCATTAGTCTACAGTTAGCCTTCTTGGAAAATCCTGTATAATTTACATTTTCTTATTATTTAAAAAAATTTCCTCCCTGGCTTAGAATGTAAATTTAGAGCAAAAATTTTAATTCAAGTCATGATCATACTTCAGAATGCAGAAGAAAATTAAGTGCCGTTGATAGAACAATCATACTTTGGGAACAGATAATAATTTGCAAGTTATTTCGGCATTGACAAGTGTCATATTGCTAGCCCGTGGTGTAACAAAATGATGAAGTGAAGCTCACCAAAGAAGAAAAGTTGGCTTGCAAAGGACACTGGGATGTGGCTCTTTCTCCTGGGTCACATCTCATGTAGGTATTTAGATGGAGAACAGCTCTGCTTGTCCTTCAGTTCTCATTTGCTCCTCAGTGCTGAGTGAGGACACAGAGCATTCAGATGTTAGCATTGGTTTTGCGACACTGTTGAGTGTATGGGCGGGAGGGGGAGAAGCCAGTGATGACCTGAAGATCTTGTCTCGTTGAACTGGCAGATAGGGGAGAGATGATAATTGTCTTCCCAACATTGCCTTAGTTGGGACCATGTTGGTTCTTCCTTAATGCTCCTTCTGGTTGCTCTGCAGCACAATAAGAACTCCCAGTGGTGTCAGGAACATTTCCTGAATTACAAGGGGCTTGTCAGAGCTGCCGCCGTGCGAGAACAGTTGAAAAAGCTGCTTGTCAAATTTCAGGTGCCCAAGAAGTCCAGCGAAGGTGAGAGGGAACTGGCCCCCTGCCAGTGACTTCCCTTTCTTTGCTTAGGTGTGTTCTGAAGGTTCTCGGGCTGGGCTGATGTGAGGCAGCAAAGCGCGCTGACCTGTGCTGGCTTCATCTTGAACTGCCCGCATCCATGAAAAGCCAAGGGTAAAGTCCATTTTTATTCCAAGGGCTGTTCTTACCAAAACATAGGTTAAAGCTTATGACAGCACTTAAGAACCATTGACATTGGCGTCACTGCAGATGATACAATTATTGGGTGACTTTTGCGAGAAAAATTATTTTAAATGAATGAAGCTCGTGGCTATGGGGTAAAAACTATGCTTTCTTTTCAGACACAAGTGTCAGCAAAGCAGGCACCGCGTGTTTAGTCCAGTGCTCACCGAGTGTGAGGCGCAGCAGTCCTGTCAGATGGCTTCTAGCCTGTAGCAGTGACTGTGCTGACCATCAGTCAAGGACACAATGGGTTGTGCGTGGCAGGGGCTGTGCAGACTTCCTCTAATTGCTTCTTCACTGTGGGGAGTAGGCGATGGTAGCCATAGCTTACAGAGGACCTCAAGTCCAAAGGAGGCTTTGAATTATGTTCAGGATAACACTGGTAATCAGTAGAGCCCGATCTTGTGGCTCAGAAGCCCACACTCCTGAGGAAGGGACTTAACTGCTTGTGTGTTTAGCAGCAGTCATGTTGAAAGCTACTGTGTGCCTGGACTCAGCCACATTCTCAACCCTGCAAGTATCTGTTAAAAGTTTTTGAGTGCTTTTAATAGGCCAGGCGGTATTCTAAGTGTTTTGTGTGTTAATTCATTAATGTTCACAACAACCCTGTAAAGTGTGTGCTGATGTTATCCCGATCTTATAGATGAGAAGAATGAGGCGAAAAGACCAAAAGAACTTGAACCCAGGTAGTTTTACTTCAGGGCCTTATTTTACTTTTATGCTAAGAGAAAGTGATTAAAAAATGACCAAGACTTGGTTCTTGCTCATAGGCAGAGTGCAGTGAAAGAAGAGATTCATGCAGGTAGATGAACCACAATGTCAGTGTCATAGAAGACAGTAATGGCAAATACAACAGTAGTGCAGGAAGTCCCATGCGACAGGCCTTGGGGGTCTTGCAGCAGGCTTTGAGGGGTGGTGGAAGTCCCTTCAAGCATTGGAGGTCTGGTTGAATTAGAAAATTGTGGCAAAGACGACTGGAGACAAGTGCTTGGAGTAAGAAGCATGCAAGATGCTCTCAAGAGAGGGAAGAGTAGAAAGAGGATGCTCACAATAGCAGTTGATTGGGTTCCTGTCACCTGGCAGCTAGATGACAGCCTTACTTGTACATCTGTTTATCTTAGCCTGGGTTTCATTATCAATGTGCTACCCAGGAGAAAAGTTATATTAAATTTAAATTCTTCCTAACAGGAGGAATTAAATGTTGAGGAGTAAGATTTTGTAATGGAGAGTTGAGCTGTGGAGGGCTGCAAAACATTGTAACACCTAAGATATCTTCCCTTCCTCCATCCCAAGGAACCACTTTTCACCCTTTAGGAAGTGTTCTTCACCCTGAGAAGAAGGCATGTTGTACATGGAAATTTCTTATGACCAGATGGAGAAAGGGGCTGAATCTTGATGGTGGTTAGAAATATAGAATTGAGGGTGGGGCATCGTGGGTCACACTGTAATCCCAGCTACTTAGGAGGTAGAGGTAGGAGGATCATGGCTTAAGGTCAGCTTGGGCAAAATAAAAGTAAGTGAGACCCTATCTTAAAGATCAAGCTGGGCATGGTGGAGTGCAGCTCTAATCCCAGCTACATGGGAGGTGTATATAGGAGTATTGCAGTCTGAGGCTGGCCCAGACAAAAGCGTGAGACCCTGTCTGAAAAATAACTAATGCAAAAGGGTCTGGAGGTGCACTTGCCCAGCAGGTGCAAGGCCCTGAGCTCAAACCCCCCAGTACTGCCCCAAAAAACAATGTAAATTTGAGATTAATTGGTTCTTTACCTGGGAACAAAATAGGAAGTCATGGAGATTAAATGAATTATGTGTGAATTTAGAACATCTAGATGTGAAGAAAGGAGAAAGCGAGTAGTGAAAGACTTAGCAGTCATGAGATAAAAAAGTTTATAGAATGATTTTATTTAACCTATTTAGAAAACCCAATAGTGTTTCCAAGTTGATAAGTGAGCAAAGGATTAGAATATAAAAATCACAAAAGAAGAAACACACACACAGATAGTAATCTAGTAAGTGTAAAATAAAACAAGGAAGGTGTGAATGCAGTGAGACTGACTGCTATTTATATCTTCATGGCTTTGTAAGCAGTACCCCCTTCATGGAGCTTGTTTGCCCGCACATCATATGTCCTTGGGTCTAAGATGCCACCATTATTTATGTATCAAAGTAGGGAAAAAGTGAATCTTAGAATTGGTGAAATATGGTTGTCATCAGTCATAAAAATGACACTCCTTTTGTGCAATAATTTGGAATTTATCTTATGGACATCACCTAATAAATGGAGGGACTTTATGCCTGAGAGAGGTGTTCACTGTAGCAGTAGACACTCCAGTCGAGATGGACTCACTCGTATCCATAGTGAGTAATGTAGTACAGTACTCCATTTCCGTTCTTTCTTTCAGAAAGAACATCATTCCCACAAGGTTCTCCCCTAAAACAAAGTTGTGAAGTCACTGGTCAGTCTGTGGAGTAACTGTCTTAGGTCCCGGTATCCAGCCTGGTCTAGTCATCTGTGGCCTGGGGATTTGGAAGGGCCCCAAAGTGCCAGGGGCAGCCCCACCTTGTTTTCAGCTGCCTCAGTTGTTGGCAGACTGGCACCTGGCATGGGAGGTGTCTGGTTCAGGCTGTGGTTTCCAGGTGGCTTGAGCAGCCTGGGTGCGGCAAGGCCTGGATCCTGTGTGTCACAGCACAGGCCCGAACACCTGGAGTACAGTGCAGGCAAAGGTCTCATCTTCTCTGTTGCCACCTTGTGCAGGTGATCCCGATCCGGTTCTGAGGTGCATTGTCGCGGGATTTTTTGCAAACGCAGCAAGGTTTCATTCTACTGGAGCTTATAGGTAATGTGATACTTTCTGAAGTCATTTGTATAGGAAAAAAATCTTTGAAGTGACCCAAACTGCACAGAAAGCTGATGTGTAGAGACAGTAGAGAAATCAAATTTGTTATTTTTTAATTTAGATCATGCCTCCTTCCAAAACCTAGTTGAGGTTAGCTATGTAGCTTGAAGCAGATTATTTTACTTCTCAAAGTGGTTCCACATATTCAAGTACATCCACATGGTTAATGCTTGTCTTAGAAGGGTGACAGTTATGTCTGGAGGCTAGCAGCATCTCAGTTCTAATAATGGAATTGTAGGACTAGAGGGAACCTTTAGTGATGATTTTCCCAGAGAAACTACTTCTACCCTAGGTAGGTCCTTATGCCTTTAGAGCTCTGCAGGCCTGAGGTTGCCAGTTCATCGTGACCACGCTTGGTGCTTGGTGTCTTTGCTGCTCGGTAAGGTTCTCTTCCTGTGGTGAATGTACCCCCGCTGCAGCCTGTATCCTGTTCTTCCAGCCACATTCTCTAGGCATAGAAAATTGCCGATCACTAATGTTTATAATAGCTTTTACTGTACTCTAATGGTGAAAAATGAAGTGTAATTTAAGCCCACTTTTCTCTAAACTAAGCCATCCTGCTTAGGTCTTTTGGCTCTTCTGTGCAGCCTATTTAAAGAGTAGTATCATTTCCAGATGGAACACTGGACTTAGCACATGCTCTGCAAATGTTTTACCACTGAACTACACCCCCAGCCTATTTATTTATTTATTTAGTTATGTTTATTTTTTATTTTGAGAGAGTCTTCTTGCTGTGTAGCCCAGGCTGGTTTTGAATTTGCAATCCTCCTGCATTGGCATCCTGAGTAGCTAGGATTACAGATGTGCACCACCATACCCAACATTTTCCCCGTCTCTAATAAGGGAACAATCAATAGGCTTTTTCCTGAACTCTCTTTGTGATTTCCTCCACATATATGCCATTAGGTTCCCTCCTCCCAATCACATAACATTAGAGTTCTGTTTTCTGAGGCTAGCCATGAGATCCCTTTCCCTGGACACTGGGATTCTGTTAAAGGACCAGAATTCAGTGAGCATTTTTTAAGTTTTGTCAGCCAGATCTGTTCCATCTACTATCTTGGTAACTGATCGTCTGAACTTTAAAACACAGCATTTCCCTTCACCTCTAGTGTGCTGTGTCTGTTGCTCCAGGCAAGTGGCCTAGCCTGTCACTGTTGTGATTCTGTTGCTTGAGCTCTCTCCCTCATGGACCCCTTCCCACAGGGAGGTGAGACCGTCTGGAGAGGCCTGAGCTCCCCCAGCGAGTTCCCTCATTTGTTATGTTGGTTGCCTTCCTCTTCTGAGGAGTGTCAGGGCATTCAGCAAATTTCATCAGTGTCCTTAAGAAACAAAGGAAAACATAGGGACAGCATGAGAGGTTCCAGAGCCAGTCATTCTTGTGAGACAAACTTCTCTATTGGTGTGCTCACCATCTGGTGGGCCAGCCAGGGCTCCTGGATACTGGCTTTGCCATAACACCAGTGATGAGGCTGGCTCTGTTTAAAACCGTCCCTCTGACAAACAAATCCCAGTGCCCATAGAAACACACCATGGCTGTTTTAGGCAGCAACATCCTAGTCTATTAATGTTTCCTTGTTGTCTGATCTTGCTGGTAGTTATGTGTGCAGTCAATAGTTTCTGAGTTAAATCAACTCACATCTAAGTTGGAATTGGAAATAACTTTCAGAGATACTAATAGTCCCAGACTGAGCTTCTCTTTCCACTAGTCTCACTAGTCTTACCTCCGCTTAGTGTTTAACTTTGTGTAATAGGAAAGCCTACAGAAGAAATCTGATATATTCTTGTTATTTCACAGAAAATTGTTTAGGAAGATAAACATGGGCATAATTGCTGCGTTCCTAAGTGCTTTTTCTGAGTGTTCACATGTTGCTTTTCTTCTTCTATTTTTGCATGATTTATTCTTACTCCCAGCGTGGCAGCAGGGGAGGGTCAAGGAAGGGCACCTAGAAGATAGAGGGCACTGTTTTGTTTATGTGAAATTCATCCTGCATGCATTTAGAGGCAATATTTAAAACATCTGTAAGAAAGTCTTAATGAGTGCTTTAGACACACTTCTTGTATCTCACCAGAACTATCCGTGATGATCATGAGCTGCATATCCACCCCGCATCAGTCCTGTACGCAGAGAAGCCACCTCGCTGGTAAGCCCCTGTGCGGCTGAGCCTCACACCTGCCTTGGCCATCTCTGAGTTCCCAGTGCCTGGCACAGGCCTAGCTGCTCTACACCATTGCAGACTTTGTTATTACACTGAGTTGTCCATAGAATTTCTCCTCTTTCATAGATCTCCTTAAGCACACAGTGATGTGTGTCCTCTCACTCATCCTCTCAAGTGGTCACTTTTACCTACTTCTAGAGGTTAATCCCTGCTTTGCGCACAGCATTCAGAGATTACAGAGACAGATCCACACAGATTCCAACCTAGAGGAGAAGGCTTTGCTGGAGGGTGGTGTATGAAGTCCTGGATTTAGCCCTGCAGGTGCCAGGGGAATCAGGGGTGGCTTCATAGAGGAGCCAACATTTGCGCTGTACTTGGAGATAAGAGTTTTTGCAGAATAGATTATGCCTGGAAGTGGAGTGGGGGAGGGAGGGAGCAGGGGGTAGGGGGAAGAAAGGGCCCAAACAATGTATGCACATATGAAAAAATGAATAAAAAAAATTTAAAAACATAAAAAATAAAACATGTTACTGTGTAAAAAAAAAAAGTGTTTGCCCGTGTCTTTGGAGAATCATAGTTAGGACTGGCCAGTGCTACCCAAAGGGTAGCTTGTGAAATTATGGCAGTCTGTGACACTGGTTTAGAAGGAAGTTGGAAGAAGGCAGTTAGATGTTTTTATAGCATTTTGATAGGTTGTGTTCATGTCTGCCCAGTTTAACACTAATAAATTTGGGCTCATATTTTGTATTTTTTAAAATTTCAGTTTAAATTTATTTACATAGTATTTTACAAAAATATTGATTAATAATGTATTGGGAAATTTAAAGACAACAACAATGGTGCCTTACCAGTTGGAAGATAGATAACTCCAGGAAAGAGAGAGAGAAGGAGGGAAGATGGCAGTAGATAGAATTAAGGGCAGAAAGGTCTGCTGCAAGGTACCTTGTATCCTGGGCCAGTGGTTTTCAGGGGGTGGCCTCAGACCAGCATCAGTCTTACCTGGGAGAAGCCACAAGCAGAGAGTGAGCTGTCTCTGTTTTGAGGCATTTGGTTTTTGTTTTTGTAACACTGAGGTTTGAACTTAGGGCCTCATGCTTGGTAGGCAGGCACTTTTACTGCTTGAGCCACTCCACTAGCCTGCACCTGAACCTTATTGGAAATGCAGATTCTCAGGCCATGCCCAGTCCTGAATCAGAAACTGAGTGCAACCCAGCACTCTGTTTTAACAAGTCCTCCAGGTGTTTCTGATGGGCAGCAAGAGTGAGCCCTCTTCACCCAGACAAAGGAATTAGACTGCTTGTATGCAGTGCAGGTGCAGAAGCTTCTGAGGTGAAGAGGGACTTGGTCAGTTCTGAGTTTAGATCTGTTACTCCTTGGATGTTAGTGTGCAAGATAAGGTAATGAGGGAAACCAAACCTCAGTTCTGGATCCTTTAACAGTTTGCTGACTTTTGGGTGATTGAATTTGGGAGTTGCTTCATTCCTAGGAACTGAAGGGCAGGAAAGGGTGGCAGAAATAGAGCTAGCCTGAGGCAGAGGGAAAGTGACCTTCCCTCACAGTCCCTGTGCTGAGGCCCTTCCCCTTCCTTTTCCCTCCCTCCCTCCCTTTTTGTTGTTTTTACCTCAGTCCCAGGGTAAGTCTTCTTACCTCTTGTGAAGGTGTAATTCATACTCAGTGAAAGATGAGTTTTGACTAATATGTGCACCCATGTAACCATGGGTTACACACCAAATAAGGTATAGTATATTTTCATCACTCTGGAAAGTTCCTTTGTAACTCTTTAAGGTCATTTCTCAACCCCTTTCAGAATCAGGCAAGCCTTTGCCTCTATTTCTGTGATTTATAATTGAATCCTTAAGTTTTCTTCAGAGCTCTATAAGTGGAGACTAAGGATCCAGAAAGATCCTTTGTGGATAATTGAGATGCCCTAGAAGTCATGAAGGATGTAGAATCTGATCTGTAAAACACTCCGTGACCTATCGCTCAGTCACAGCCTAAGTGCCTGTGTTTAGCGTAGCTGCACATGGAGTGCACACTTGCTAAAGGTGAAGGGCAGAGACTGACCATCCTCCTAAGACATGGGAGAATGTTTCATGTGTGCTTCTTGTTTCAGGGTTATCTACAATGAAGTCATTCAGACCTCCAAGTATTACATGAGAGACGTGACTGCCATAGAATCTGCATGGTTGCTGGAGCTGGCACCACACTTTTATCAACAAGGGACGGTAGGAATGAACAGAATCTGTCTCCCAGACCACTAGTTAGCAGCTGCTTCATATTGTGAAATACACATTTCTTCTTATCTAGTGCCCTTGTAGCTTGAATGAGTTTTTTTTTGTTTTTCATTTTAGCCCTTTAAAGAGTTTATTCCATTTCTTTGAACTATGTCTGAGAAGCCAGCAGTCCTTTCCGTGGCTGTCCCTCTGTATGCAATGTACTTCTTTATCTCCTCCTGTGGCTGCTTTTAAGGTTTTTATCTTTATCTTTGATTTCAGCAGTTTGAACTGTAAGGTACTTTGCTTTGTGTTTATCGTTCTTGGAGTTCATGGAGCTGAGTGGGCAATCATTCTTTTTCTGCTCCAGTATCTCCCTGTGTTCTTCTGGAGCTCCAGTTACATATGTGCTAGAGCTCTTGCTTTGTCTCACACTTCATGAAGGCTGCTTTTGTCTCACACTTCACAAAGTCTTTTCTGTGGTTTAGCTTGGATAGTTTCTTGTGACCCATCTGCAGGATTACCGGTCAGTTCTGCAGTGTTCAATCTTGTTGATAAGTCTGTTGAGAGACTGTTTCATTTCAGATGCTGTATTTTTCTATTTTAGCATTTTCATTTGTTTCTTTTTTAGTTTTCTGGGTCTTTCCTGTGTTCACTCATTATCCCAATCTTTTTCTTTAAGTCCTTGAACACATTTATAATAGCCGTTTTAAAGGACCAGTCTGCTAATTCAACATCTCTGTCACTTTGTTTTATCTTATGGTTGTTTTGTTTACTTATGATGGATTATATTTTCCTGCTTCTCTTGTCTAGCAATTTTTTGTTGTGTGCTAAACATTATAGATGCTATGTTATGGAATCTGTTTAAGTTTTTTCTTCTTTGTGGTATTGGGGATTGAACTCAGGGCCTTGTGCTTGCTCTACCTCTTGAGCCATGTCTCCAGTTTTTTTGCTTTTAGTTTGTTTTTCAGATAGGGTCTCACACTGACTTTGCCTGCACTGTCTTCTAATTCTGCCTCTGAGTAGCTGGGATTTCAGGTGGGTGCCACCATGCCAGCCTGGATTTTGTTTTGTTTTCTTAATAGAATGTTGCTTTTTAAACTTTTTTTCACAGTCAGTTAATGTATAGGTACATGGGTTTGATTCTGCTGAGCCTTGATCTTAGTCTTTAATTGGACTATAGTCCCATGCTGTTTGTTTTTCAATGTCTGAAAAAAGTTGCTTTGGACATTTTGTTCGGTTTACTGTTGTTTATAGTATAAGGGAAATTCTGAAACCTATTATTCCACAAGGGCTAGAACTGGACTGTGCAATGTTTTCAAGTCAAAATTCGCATTGATTGCTGTATTTAAAATTGGAAGATTTAGCCAGTCTTGGTGGCATGTTCCTGTAGTCCCAGCCACTCAGGAGGCTGAGGAAGGAGGATTTGCTTGAGCCCAAGAGTTGGAGGATAGCCTGGACAACGTAGCAAAACACTGCATCAAAAAACCATTCCACATTAAATGTGAATTTCTGGTTTCTCTTGTAAGAAATGTTAAATCTATCCAGCTGTTTGGGAGACTGAGGCAGGTGGACTTGAGTTCAGGCCATAACAAGACCTTGTCTCTGTTTTTTTTTTTTCAAAAGAGAAATGTTAAATCTAGCTTAGTTCTGGCTTAGTTCCTTAATTTGTGGCAGTCAGCAGGGGCTGAAGAGTGGCTGGTGACACTTTCCAGGTGCCACTTGTTTATTCTCTTGCCCAAGCCTTAGAGACATTTGTGTTTATGGCCCTGTGAATGGAAAGATCTTACCATCCCTCTTCCTCTGTAATGCCAAGGAATTGCCCTTTTAAAATCCCCGTAACTATTTAATTCTTACCCAAACGAAAAGCAATTCAGACTCTAATGCAGATGTTTCTTCTAGAAACCAGATCAACTACGGGGACAATGAAAATGCAGAGGATGCTGTCTCTGCTCTGATGGGTCTGTCAGAATTAACCTGTAGTGAAGAAAATCTTTTCTTTCAAAACGCACTGCTGGGAAACAGCAAACTTCAGTCCTCAAAAAATGATTAGAAATGCAAACTAGAAGTGAGGAGAAGGATGCAGCTGCAAATGCACCCATTAAAATAATGGGACGCAAGTGGTTAGAGAAGGATTGGCCTGTAATATCTCGGATTCACTCAGTGTCTTGCAGAGCAGAATTAGCCTAGAAGTGAGGTATTTTCTCTTGTGAACTCAAAATTAGTTTCTTTAGGTCAGATCCACAACATTTAAAGAGCAAATAGCTTTAGAAGTTTGAAGAAAACGACAAGCTCAAATTTCCACACTTGTCTCTTTTCTCCAAATGCCTAGTTTTTAGCCTCTCACTCCAACTATGATCAGAGCACTTTTGGAGAGGCCAGGTTTTAGAAACCCCTTTGGGGACAGCCTGGTTGTACAGAAAGGGTCACCAAGCTCTGTTGTTTGGAAGTGTTAGTCCCTTCTTAACTTAGTCCAAAGGCATTTCTTCTTTTAACTCGTCTAAAGCAGATTGATTTCCTTAGCATCACTCCATATCCCCAGGCTGCCCATGTACGGTAGATATTCTGTGTTGAACACAGTGCATTGCCCCGCAACCATGCACGGCCCACAGATTGTCTGCATTCTGTCCCTGGCACATTTGGTGACTTTCCGTCACTTGTTTTTTGAGAGAGTTGCTCTTTCCCTGTAAAGAAGCCTGAAGTGGTTCAGAGTCAGCTTTGTTTATATTGAACATTCCTTCCAGAAAAGAGCACCGAAAATGGCCCCACAGACACAATGGCGTCATCTCCGCTCCCCACGCTAAGGCTGTGAATGTCTAGCATTAGTTGTAGGGTCATATCAGGTGAAGTATATAGAACAGAGAATTCAGAGATTTGGCACGACACACAGTTGGACAGGGGAAGAACAGGGTGACCTGTTCACATATTTGCCTTCTTGTCTTTTAAGTTATTTTTCCTGATTCTCAAAGATAGCTTTGTTATTCAGGGGAAAACTGTATAGAAAGCCTGAATTCTTGCTGTTCATGTCGACCTGGGTCCTGTCACTCGCTCATCTCACATTGTGCTTGGCGGTGTACCATGACTTCTTTCATGCCCTGTGTTCTTTCAGGGCCTGCTGTTCTCTGTGGGGCGATGTGGTTTGCTGATGTGAGGCCATGTGGGTATGCCAAGAAATGAAGTGTACCGAGCAGCCAGGGGTTGGAAGTCCTCTTGTGAGGATCTCACCACGTGTTAGCTCCTCAAGAAGTTTCTGCATTGTTTATGTTTATCAGTGGGATGTCAGGTGTCTCTCAGTTAGTGAGTGGAGGCCCCTGAGTAGAAGTTGTGTTCACACACTCTGTCTCAAATGCATATTTTAGAATGTCTAACACTTTTGGTTTTACCTTAGAATGTAAAGAATTCTAATTCCTCAATCCTGTTATCTGATGCCCATGACAGTAATGTTAGTAAGTTTCATAAGTTATTTATACTGACAGACTGGCATTTCTGGGGAAATGCCACAGAGGTCCTTTTTCCTATATGTCTTCTTAGCTAGCATGTCCCCTGTGAGGGCAGGAGCATGGCTTTGGCTCCATCCTTGGACACCAGCACCTGGCATGTTGGGATGCTTGGTACATTGACCCATTCCCTGTTCCTAAGGAGAGGGAGCTTTTCCTAGGCCATTGTTAGGAGCTTCTTGGGAAGCTGAGGTCAGGCCCCGTCCAAGCCCAGTTCCCTGAGCACAGGACTTTGGCTGCAGTGCTGCCTCTGGGCTGGGTGGAGGGAACCCCATTTTCTCCTAAGAAAACCTTTCATTGGAAGCTGCTGCAGAGCCAGGTTTAGTCCTGTAGGCTAGCCTCGGGCTGCTTGCATCCTCCTCAGGGTCTTTTTCAGTCACTTGGACTTTTTTATACCATTTTCTGAGGGGCACAGCATTTCTTCAGAAGGCCTGGACCAGGTGGAAGATTCTACTAGGTCATTCACGTGGGCATTCTGTTGGAGTCTGGTTTCTTTGTCTGACCATCCCCAACTGTGATGTTTTCTCTTCTCTTGCAGCACCTGTCCCTGAAAGCCAAAAGGGCCAAGGTCCAGGACCAGTGAGCTGAGCTTGGCGGTGGATGCAGGGACTGCTTGGGATCCTCTCTCCATGCTGCTCCCTGTCTCAAGCAGGGTGAGCAAGCACTAGCTCAGGTGGAATGTGCGGCCACCCATCAGCCCCTTTTCTTGCTCCCCTCAGCACTTGTGGGCCCTGCTGGGATCACAGAGGAGTGTGCATGAGCAGGTTTCTGTCCTGCAGCGCTGCACTCAGGCAGAACGGGAGCTGGGAAAGCACTGCTCTTGGGCCCACTTGCTGCTCACTCACCCAGCATGCCAGTCCAGCAGCCACTTGATCCTGACCCAGCTTTGGGAAGAGGAGAGTTAGTCATGAAGGCTGAAGCCTGAGTGGGGCGGACAGGTTTGCTGGGGTCCTTCGCTTTCTCTGCTGTGACCCTGGCTGTGTGGACTAATGAGATCCACTGTGGATATACACAGCTGGTATCTAGGAAGAATGGGACCTTACAGCTGTTGGGGATTTCCACCGAGATAGGCAAGGAATAGGTCTTTGTGGTACAGGGGCTCACACACCAAGAAGCTCCTGCCTTTTTTGAATTTCCACCCCTGCTTATGTGTGGCCAGGAGACTGGTGATTCAAAGGAGACTCCTGTGCACTCACTGTTAGCCCAGGATCTCTTCCTCACAAGTGGGCTTAGCTTTCCTTCAGACATGATTCCGTGTCCTGCTGTCGCTAGCTGGGCACTGGTGACTGTTCATCAGCTCCAACCCTGTGTGCTCCACTGTAGCAGGAATTCACTATAGTTTAGATGCTCTAAACTTCTGTAGCTCAGGAACATAACTCTTGTATATTGGTCTTTGTTTGCTTGCATTCTTGCAAGAACATGAGGGGGTGGCTCTTCCAGCAGGCACTGGGTCATGGCCACCCTAAGGCTGCTTTGCTGTGGTAATGACTACATTTCAACACATAGTGATACAGGTTTTCCCCTTACTGTTTCAATGACATTTATTTTTAAACATGTAGCTTGAAAATTTATTTTTGTTCTGGTTTTAGTTTGTGCCACTTTTGGTACCAAACCTGTATGTCATTTTTATTTCCATTTTATAAACATGTAAATAGCAGTGATAACTTGTTAATAACAGTAAACCTTTATACCTGAAGTAAATGTATTCCCTCCCATCCATGAATCTTGTGCCTGTGTTTTAAGATGGTTGATTAATCTGAGTTAAGGTGCGACTTTAGCTAAGAATCCTGATGTGGCATCAGGAAGTACCATAAAGCACACTTGTGTACCTGAATGCTCTCAAGGCTTGTTAGAGCAAACCATGGATGTTGTTAAAAGAAAGCCCCAAAGAGATACTAAGTCTTGCCAGTTTGCAATTGGATCTTTCCATAGAATTCTCAGAAACATTGCTTTTAAAAGGTTCTATTGGAGTGAAAGGGAGAAAAAATACAGAATCCACACACTCTCAGGTTTGAGACCAGAGATCCAAAACAGGCCAGACACTTTGGAGGGAAGCAGACAACAGCAAGAATACCTTTGCCTGCCCCCTCTATCTTGAGTGCCTGAACCCAAGTACATATGTGCCCTCTCTACCTCCACCTCAGTTGGCCACGGTCACCAGGACTTTCTTCCAGCTTTGTATGCTGTGTTATGTCCTGTTGTGGGTAGAGATGGATTCTCACCATCAGAGACCCACAACTGTAACATCCTGAGGCCTTGGCTCAGGCCCCTTCATGCCTAGGGTTCTCTCCCACCCTGTGGATTGAACATTGCCATCACAGGAAGCCCCTGCTTTGGTCTGTCACGTGGGTCACTCTGCCCAATCAACGAATAGTGGTTGGGCCTTGGGCTGTGTGCACAGCCTGGGGATGGGATGGAGGTACACATCAACAGAAAGCTGAAGAAGGTAAGATGATGGCAACACTGACAATCCTGCAACCACTGCCAAATTAAAACCAATTCAAAGTGAACACAAAAACTGGTTGATGAAGTCTGGGACTGCTGGCTTGTGGGCTGTGGACTGTGTGCCAGCTGACAACATTAGCCCTGTGCATTGTCACTTTGTCACTCTGGGAACGTGCTTCCAAATGCCAGGCAACTGTATTACCAGAGAATTTTTAGGGCTGCTGGGAGATTACCTTCCTTTCTTTCTCACTGGCAGGATTCAAGTTAGCTGGTCTCGGTCCCCACATCATACTTCACCTCAAGCTGAGATCAGATGTTTTCCACTTGTAGTGACTCACCTGCATGTTTCATCAGCCTCCAACTTGTGATGAACCAGGGTGATGGAACTCTGGGCTCACTGTCAGTTGCATCTTTTTTTTTCTGAGTCATTAGAATGGAACTAGCCAATAAAATCATTTAATAGTTGGCCACTTTGGGTGAATAGCTAGAATTTGGCTGATGACCTGGGAAGGGCTTATGGTCCCTGGGTCCTCAATCACTGCTCCCTCTAGCATGCAAAGCTGATGTGCTGATGTCTGAGATGAGTCACAGAGGTGTTAATTGTGCACCCTTGGGTGGTATTGAACTTGTTTAGGCAGGCTGTCATTTTGCTTGCTTATGTGGGGCCAAACAGATTCCAAGAGCAGCATTTCCTCTGGACCCTCTTGCATATATGGCTTCCACTCCACTGTGAGTTCTCCTGAAGGCCATAGGGAACCAGAAAGCGGGGAAGTGGGAGATTCACCAGGGAGTGGGGGAGGCTGGATGCAAGGGTGCTGGTGGTTTACGCTTCAGGATCTTTTTTTTTTAATTATTTTATTATTCATATGTGCATACAAGGCTTGGGTCATTTCTCCCCTCTGCCCCCACCCCCTCCCTTACCACCCATCCTGCCCCCTCCCTCTCCCCCCTACCCCCTCAATACTCAACAGGAACTATTTTCCCCTTATTTCTAATTTTGTAGAGAGAGTATAGGCAATAATAGGAAGGAACAAGGGTTTTTGCTGGTTGAGATAAGGATAGCTATACAGGGCATTGACTTATATTAATTTCCTGTGCGTGTGTGTTACCTTCTAGGTTAATTCTTTTTGATCTACCCTTTTCTCTAGTTCCTGGTCCCCTTTTCCTACTGGCCTCAGTTGCTTTTAAGGTATCTGCTTTAGTTTCTCTGCGTTAAGGGCAACAAATGCTAGCTAATTTTTTAGGTGTCTTACCTATCCTCACTCCTCCCTTGTGTGCTATCGCTTTTATCATGTGCTCAAAGTCCAATCCCATTGTTGTGTTTTCCCTTGATCTAATGTCCACATATGGGGGAGAACATACGATTTTTGGTCTTTTGGGCCAGGCTAACCTCACTCAGAATGATGTTCTCCAATTCCATCCATTTACCAGCGAATGATAACATTTCGTTCTTCTTCATGGCTGCATAAAATTCCATTGTGTATAGATACCACATTTTCTTAATCCATTCGTCAGTGGTGGGGCATCTTGGCTGTTTCCATAACTTGGCTATTGTGAATAGTGCCGCAATAAACATGGGTGTGCAGGTGCCTCTGGAGTAACCTGTGTCACAGTCTTTTGGGTATATCCCCAAGAGTGGTATTGCTGGATCAAATGGTAGATCAATGTCTAGCTTTTTAAGTAGCCTCCAAATTTTTTTCCAGAGTGGTTGTACTAGTTTACATTCCCACCAACAGTGTATGAGGGTTCCTTTTTCCCCGAATCCTCGCCAACACTTCTTGTTGGTGGTGTTGCTGATGATGGCTATTCTAACAGGGGTGAGGTGGAATCTTAGTGTGGTTTTAATTTGCATTTCCTTTATTGCTAGAGATGGTGAGCATTTTTTCATGTGTTTTTTGGCATTTGAATTTCTTCTTTTGAGAAAGTTCTGTTTAGTTCACTTGCCCATTTCTTTATTGGTTCATTAGTTTTGGGAGAATTTAGTTTTTTAAGTTCCCTATATATTCTGGTTATCAGTCCTTTGTCTGATGTATAGCTGGCAAATATTTTCTCCCACTCTGTGATTGTTCTCTTCAGTTTAGAGACCATTTCTTTGGATGAACAGAAGCTTTTTAGCTTTATGAGGTCCCATTTATCTATGCTATCTCTTAGTTGCTGTGCTGCTGGGGTTTGATTTACATTGCAAGGGTGCTAGTGGTTTACCCTTCAGGATCTTAATGGCCCAGTGAAGGCCGGGTGCTGGCTACTGCCTAAGGCTTCTGAGGCCTTGTCCATTGACCATGGTTTGGCCAGTGGCTCTGAGTACGAAGGTCCTGGCTAGGCTTTGCTGGCCCTGGCCTGATGGGCAAAGCAGTACTGGATCCAAAGTTAGCCTGGTCCTTTTTCTGCCTCCTGGTCACTGCTTTGGCCTCTGTATTGGGACCCCAGGAACCTGAAGAGCAGGTGTTAGCTAATAAGGGTTTACCAGCCAGCCCTATGTTTATTTCAGCCTTTTTCTCGATTGCTTTTTTTCTTCCCCTTTCTTATTTTTGTCTTACTCCTTATTCTCATATAGTGTCTTTCTTTCTCTGTCTCTCTCATACTAGGTTTTGGACTCAGGGGCTTTGCTCTCCCACCTAAGCCACACTTCCAACCCCTTATTTATTCTCTTTTTAAGTATAGTCTTGCTTAGGTTTGCTTAGTATCTGCTGTCACTGTGTTTTCTCTGTTCTTGGCTTTTCATTTTTACTTAGTGTGCTACCTTTGATCTCTACTTCTTTGACTTCAGCATCATTTTTCCTTTTTCCATGAAGTTTTAAGAACAATACATGGGTGAATTTATTTTTGTACTTTTTCTAAAGTTCTTTTCCTTTTTATTTAACTTCTTGGTTTTTTTTTTTTTTTACTCATTCATTTTGAACATTGAGGTATAGAACAGTTTTGTTTTGTTGTAGTTCTATAAATATTTTGTTCCATTTAATATATTGGTTTTGAACTTACCATAACAATTTACCTTCCATTTTCTCTTGGTTCCTTTACTCCCCCTCTCTTCTCTCCTCTTAATAGCCAAATTTGCTTTTGTGGTTAGGAGAGGCCTAACTGTAGGTGTGAGAGCCTTGGGGCAAAGGTATTTGTAATCAAGGATTAAATAAATGTGGGGAGGGCTTTTCCAGTGAGTTCATTCCCTCTACTGAAAGGAACTACAGGGCTGCAGGCCTCGCACTCCTGGGGAGTGAGCTTCTATAAAGGAAATCTTACAAATCAACAATATAGTTTTCCACCCCAGTGCAAAAAGCAGGCAAAGGGAATGAACAGGCAGGTTGTGAAAGCAGACCTGAGAATTACAAGCCAGTGAAGAAAGCCCAAAATTCATCAGAGAAGCATGAACTAAAGCAGCAGTCAATATCTCTGCTCTCATTAGCAGAAGGTAGAGGTGTATTGTAGAAATGCAGCTGAGGTGTGGAGACCCACGCATGGCTACAGAGCTGCCTACACACACATCAGTGAGGCTTATGTGTACTTCCCCACAAAATTTTCCCCTGGGTCTGTGGGGTGGGCTGCTTGTGGGTTGTCACTGGAGGCTATGCAGGGGAAATGTAGTGGATGATGCTGTAATGTGCTTCAGAGCAGTTTCAAGCCACAGACAACACAGACTTTAAAAATAGCTGTGAGTGAAAAAGGTGAGAAACAGATGTGACAGTGCTGTTTACAGACACTGAAAATGCATGCAGACCAAGGGCAGACAGATTGCAAACGCATGGCCCAGCAAGGAGATGCACATTTCAGGTGTCACCCATGGAGCTAATGGGAAGAACAGTGATGCAACTGTAAGCAGACCGAGATGGGGTGAAAGGCCCCAAGTACTTACCTGGAAAAGACCTGGATTTGGGGATATGAGTCTCTTCTTACCCAAGGTTTTGGACATATTTACCCATGGCCCCAAGAGGTTGAGGTCATGGGGTTGGCCTCGGTGGGCCTGTTGCTGACATCTGGATGGAGTGATCAAACAAACAACATGAGACGTCTTAATGTTCACAGCCCCACCATGGCATGCTGCTGAGGGTAGTGACCTTCTTGTGATCCTTTTTTGAATTTATTCTACACCTTCATGATGGAGTTGGTTCTAACTGGCAGTCTAAGCCAGCAACAACAGCAGGGCTGGTTCCAC